GAATTTTATAGATGAAAATAGATTTAAGATAATTTCGTCTTTCTTCGAGAGGTTTCCAATTTAGATTATTGAGTAACTCAGATGACCGAATATCGTAAGTTGCCCCAGTAATTACTCTTGCAGCACGATTTTGGTATTTTTGCAACCTATGTTTGAGCCCAATTCCGCGCAATTATCCCACAACCGGGCTGCAATAATCGAAATAAGGCTGTATAATGGCATTATATAGCATTTTGGTTGTCGACAGTGGTACAAACTGCTCCCCCTCCCACGTTTTGGAAATTCGTAATATTTAATGTGTAACAAACTTAGGTCTGAAGGGCTTGAATCCGTTTTTTTTTCATTAATTTAGTTTATTGTACGATCATCCAGATTAATTTTTTTTTTTAATTATTTCTGACGTTTCGGCTACCTACACGGCAGCCATTATCAAAGACGTATTTATTTTTTTTTATTTTTTTTTTGTAACTGTAATACGTCTTTGATAATGGCTGCCGTGTAGGTAGCCGAAACGTCAGAAATAATTTAAAAAAAAATTAAATCTGGATGATCGTACAATAAACTAAACTTAGGTCTGTTGGCCAAATCCGCCACGACTTTTTGGAATGGATTATTAATTCTCATCGAAAGCTATATTAATTCTTTTGTTTCACCTCCAGAATATCTCGTAAATCTCATAATTATCACACTCCGGATATAATCTGAGATCACACAATAGTTTGGTACTCTTGTGACAAAGCATTCCAATCAGCTGTTCCAAAACAATAGAATTAAATTACCAGGATTTTATCGCAATATAATTATAATTAAAGCAGTCCTAAACAGACTTGAAACAACCTATCTATTGCAATTATCAATACGTATTTATACACGAACTTGTGGTTAGAGCTCGACAACTGTCCCCCCTCAAGCTCAGTTGGTTAGAGCAATGCACCGGAATCGCAGGGCCGATAGTCCCATTTTCCGCATCTCTAATTGATGTATAAAATTTCCGCTCGAAATTTCCATCTGCTGCAAATCCCTTCAACAATTAGTTGTTGCAATTTTGTTGCAATTAGCTATTAGATTTTATTTGTATTTATAAAAATAACGAAATCTACTTTCTGAGCTAGTTTTGGACTCTAAATGAACTCTTTCAGATTCCAATGTACGCATCAGCACCATGCTTAATTTTATGAATACTTGCTCTGCAAGAATTTTAACTCTAGTAAAATAATGTACCCGCAGTGGCTCGAAATATTGTATAAAATTACTCAAAGTTATGGGCAAATAGAATTAAATTTTACCGCTGTATAATTACAGACTTAAAAAAGCCAAAGTGCCTATGCAACGAAATTTTTTATTGTTTCTCTAAAAAGTACTGCTGGAGTGATGAAGAATGACGTTTACAGTTTCGTTATATCTCATCTCATTCTCAAGTTATCGCACTTTCTATATTTTGAGTTGTGACGTCACAAGTATGAGTTGAGATAATGGCAATAACAAGAAAGTATGATATCTTGGTGAGTATTTAATAAAATTTATTGAAACTTAGCACAGTTAGTGGGTGCAACAAAGTCAACAATTTGGCTTGTTTATATGGTTGTTGTGGCAACACACTAGTCCCCAGTCCCTTCTCTTCCAATTTCTATATGATCCATTTTCAACGAAATAAATAGCAATTTCTACAATTTTCGCTTATTACTATAATACGTGTAGGTATTGTGATCAGATTATACAGTTACAATATGTAAACATCCTCTGCAAGAGTACCAAGAGTACTAAGTGTACCAAGTTTCATTGCATTTTATTAAATACTCACCAAGATATCAGACTTTCTTGTTATTGCCATTATCTCAACTCGTACTTGTGACGTCACAACTCAAAATATTGAAAGTGTGATAACTTGAGAATGAGATGAGATATGACGAAACTGTAAACGTCATTGTTCATCACTCCAGCAGTACTTTTTAGAAAAGCAAAAACTGAGGTGAAAAATTCGTTGCATAGGCACTTTAAAGACTAGTTTAGTGAAATAATGTACCATGCATAGTGACTCAAAATATTGTATAAAATTACCCGTTTTTTTAGTAAAGTAAATCTTTTATGGAGTAAATCTGCAACAGCTACCCAAAAACGTGAATAAATTTGCTCATAAATTTGGGTGGTTTAAAACAAACATTTGACTCAGTGTGGGTGCATTATCTTGTTTTTGAGTAATACCAAGGGACTTGTCAACCTAGCTTGAGGTTGGGGATTTGTGTGCAGCGGTGTTCACTATACTTTCCATAAGCAACAGGGCGCGCGATCTGCTAGTCGGGAGACGACCCTTATTACAACAAATGACATCACTGCACATTTTTACCGTTTAACATTGCGGTTTATAATAAAATGTGAGTATACGTATGAAATGTTGGTGTTTTAAAATCGTCAAAATAATTTATGCTTGTGGTCTGGAAACTAAACAGAAGTCATCGTGTTATTCTTTTGTCCCCGAGCCGACGGCGCGAAGCGCCGTGCGAGGGTACTAATTCCCCCCGGCTATTTACACCCGGGGAAACGAAAGCATTAGCGAAGTCTAAAGTTCATCAAATATCGCGGGCGTGGCTCACCAACGAAGTTTCGGTGGGTGGTCATCCTCACTGATCTCAAAATATATGGCGGACTGTCATGAATAGCGAAAACTGATTGGTCCAATTTAAAGTTTGCATTATAACGACTGCATGACGACAGCTAAATAGCAAACATTTCTTGATTTGATGATTGATAAATTTCTTGCAAATATCACAAATATATTTCATTTTCGCTCGCATTTTCGCAAGATTTTGTAAATTTCAAGAAAGAAATAGCGAAAGAATCGGCTAAAAGAAGTGAGCCAACGTTAACGAAGGTAACTTTGTTTTAAATATTGATTTTATACCATTATTTAATTTAAAACCCGACGGCCTTTGCATATATGAAACAACTAAACAAGACAGCATATTATTGCAGTGTATCTTTAGTAATATTGATTCCCTTTTTTATGATATTGAATTTTTTAAATAAAAAAGAAAGCAGAGTTATTTGCAAGCGAGAATTCGAAGTCATTTTATTGCAAACTCAAAGTTTATCGATAAAGCCATTTTAAAAGTCAGTTTAGTTTTATAAAGAACACTAGTGACTTTAAAACGTTTTGCGAAGCGTTTATGGTTGAATTTTACCTTAAATTGAGGCTTATATTACGTATAATAACATACCTAACATATATATGTTGGCAAATTAATAATTTTGTAATTAAAAGTGATATTTTTTAGGCGATTTTTCATTTGTAAGAATATTCTTAAAAAATTATCCTGTTACCATGACAACTACTTCAGATACTTCATGTTCGGAAAGTACAATGGTTTTGTCTGTTTGTCAGCAAGGCGAGGGTTTCTGCATGCATGTATTTTCTAGTATTTGTTTGAGTTTATCTTAAATAGTTCACAGTCACGGTGCTTGAGCTCATTCAGTGTATTTTGTATAATGAAGTAATCGTCCGATAGGCACAGTTGAGATGAAACGTGCAACCACGATGAATATTTTAAAATAAAGTTGAGACAAAGATTTGTGCACCGGCCGTGTCGGTGAGGCACATTAGGGCCATTTATACGTGACAAAATAAGTCGCGACTTACATAAGACGCGACTTAAGTAAGTGGAGTTATCGCATAAATGGTTCTCTACCGCTTTGGTCTTATTTATTTGCTATAGCTATAATGTTGTTTTGGTTGTTTTTGTTTTAATATGCAAGGCATTAAATTTTACGTTGTTTCAAGTTTCTGGCATGTGTAGTTAGACTTTTTGTCCAAAATTTCTTATTTAAGACGCGACTTAAATAAGAACAGCTAAAAGACCTGTTCTTATGTAAGACGCGTCTTATCCAAGACGCGTCTTACATAAGAATTTTAATTTGTACCTTTTATACGACGAGAACACTCGAAGAGAGAAGAAAGGAGCAAAAATTAGCATATGTGGCCAAAGCCCTTTCAAACCAATGTCCTGAAAACGTTTCAACTATGTTTAAAATCTCAAATTCTGATAAATATAATTTAAGAAGTAATAACAAGATGCTGATGTTGTCGAAGCCTAAAACAAATTCAATGAAAAGGACATTCGGATATGCTGCTGCTAAATACTGGAACTATAATAGTAAAAATTTTATATCTACTTAATTCATTTGTAATATATATATTTAACGTATCATTCGACCCAAACATTTCTTAGTATCTTTTAATATTTTTATAATAGTTTATATAATAGTATTTCGAGTTCTGTATTTAATAACACGGCCTAATGAAAAACAACCTTTATAATTTTTGTAAATACTGATAGGTAATATGGTTGATTAGTTACCGTGTATAAAGATGTTATAATAATAATAATAATAATAATAATAAACTCGCGTCTTACCTAAGTCGCGTCTTATGTAAGTCGCGTCTTATTTTGTTCCGTATAAATGGCCCTATTGTAGCTTTGAAGTTTTCCGGGCTTCCAAATCATAGGCGTCGAAAGATCGATAAGTGGGGGGGGGGACCATATTCATATATTCGTGTTCTACATTATTAATTTCTTTTGAAATCGATTGTTTTTAAGGTCCGTGAACACGAATATATGAATATGCCCCCCCCCCCCCACTTATCAATTTTTCGACGCCTATGTTCCAAATCATCATATCTTGAGAGACTATGGCTATACATTATATTGTTCCATCAGACAATCTTTGTTTTTCACCGGTTTAAATTCGTAGTTTTAGATTAATGGTAGTTAACTCAATAACACATGAATTATGTAAAACTACCACCAAAATCATAAACGTTTCAGTATGCATGCACTGGTTGAATCCAGTGGCGAAGCTAGCCATAGCAACTGGCCATACTATGCTAATAAACCTGCATTTAAATGGTTAAGCCTAGTTCTCATTCATCGTAAACCGTCGGCGACGGGAGCTTTGCGACGTCGGCGACGGCTTGCGATTTATGAGAACGCATAAAAAATTATATCGCCGATTGTCCGTAATCGTCCCCGACGCAATTTTCCCTTTCGTAAACGGTCGTTACCATCCGGAACAGGCGTTACCATCCCGAGTCTTATAGAATTCTGGGTATATCGCAGGAAACAAAAAAGTTTGTTTCTTGCGACCATCGCCGACTGCCACCTGCTTGAAAAACCTATGAGAAATGAGTAAAAGTTGTTTTTTCCTCAACAAGCAAGGAAATAATCAACTGAAGTTTGACAGAAATCAAGAACTTTATGTTGAACGGGGCCATTTTGTGCCTTGGTGGGAAATTTCGAAACACATCGGCTGTCATCTGCGACGATCACCGATGTATGAGAACTTTCGTGCATTCGCGCTCGGCGAGTATCGGCGATAAGCGTCGCCGATCGTCGGTGACAGTTTGCGATGAATGAGAACTAGGCTTAAAAGACCTATTTCTAAACGTTTGAATAATGCAAATTATTGAATAGTTGCATAGCATGACCTGTTGCTGTGGCTAGCTTCACCACTGGTTGAATCCGATTTTGCCTGAGAGAAAGTAAATGACACAGTGTCACCTGCTGAGCGATGTGATTTAGTCGGCGGGAAACTTGAAAAAGCTGGGCCTAATTTTCACTGAATGTTCAATTTGGATAAACTTAATTATTAAACTAACTTGAATTTTGTCCCTCAACAAGATAAATACGATCATATTGTATTATTGTTTTATTTTCGTGATAACATGTCATTTCGTGATCACATTGCTCTGTAGGTGACATTGTGACTTTAATTAAAACATTTATTGCGTACCTTTTCGACTTTTAAATAAAGAAAAATTGCAAGAAAGAAAACGTAATACTGTACGTACAGTAATTAAAGTAGCATTTCAGAGTTAACGACCCATGGTTTACTAGGGGTTTCTGGGGATGCTAAGGAATGCAATCCTCTTATTCGAGGTCCCCATCTAGACTAATTGTCACAACACAAACCAATTAAAATGTTTGAAATGAATTTTCTTTACATGCAACAGCATACTATTAAATAACATAAGTTCATATTCACAATAGTCAATAAATGTATCGTTTATAAGTGTTCGTCCATGAATTTCAGTCTCTTGTAAAAAGACTCACTCAATTAATAAGGCATGTAAGTTGCTATCTAGTAACAACTTAAACCATTGGAAAAGCGATTACTAGACATGATTTTATGTCACAGCACTAACTGTGTATTGATTGTATTGTTATTATAGTTATAGTTTACCAAGGGATTACTATAGTTCATAGAGTTTGGATAACTGTAACAGTTTGCTAAGTGACTAATCTTTGCCATTTCCTCGAACGCTGAAGGGTTCACCTGTACCATACCATGACGTCGTTTGCTCAATAGTACTTCATTATCTCTGCTATCCCTATTTGTCTTTTTCCACTTCATACGACGATTTTGGAACCACACTTTTACCTGTTTTTCCGACAAGTGTAGTGACTGCGCAATCTCGATTCGCCTTGGTCGACATAAATAGCGATTGTAGTGGAATTCTTTTTCAAGTTCGACCAGTTGACTGGTTGTATAGATGGTGCGAGGTGATGGGTCAGCGGTCGGCTCATGTTTCTCAGATTCTTGTGTTTCAGGGGTTTCACCTAAATGGACAATGGTAGAATATGTACAAATTTTGCTATATTGGGCTCTCGCAAGTGACGCCATAACACGCGATTGTTGACTTCCGCCATTGTGGGTGGCAAATTAAAAATTATTAATTAAAAGCAAAAATGGGGTAATAGCAAACTGTGGCACTGGCTGCGGCTGTTGCTTTTGTTTGGGCACTTTGAAGAGTTATAATGGTCCACAGCTGTTCAGTGGTCGGTTGGATAAAAGATTTTTGCAACCCAAAATGGTGGATTATTTTTGATGATAGATCACACTAGAAGACCTGAATGCATAGGCGTCGAAAGATCGATAAGTGGGGGGGGGGATCATATTCATATATTCGTGTTCACAGACCTTAAAAACAATCTATTTCAAAAGAAATTAATAATGCAGAACACGAATATATGAATATGGTCCCCCCCCCACTTATCGATCTTTCAACGCCTTTGAATGCACAGAAAAGAACAATGCAGTGACCTAAAACCGAGCCTGGATCAGGGGGTTTCCTCTTTCGCTGAACCTGTTGCCATGCAGGAATCTGCCTTTCCGGGCAGAAACTGAACAAATATAACCACAGAGTAATAATAAATTATTCATACAGTTCTGAAATAAACAAATTAAAGAAAAAGGGAAAAGAAGATATACGTAAAGAAAAACACACATGCCAAAATAAAGCAGTGAAATTATCATGCAAATATCAAATTCACATGAACACTGTCAATGTTGCCAGATATCATGATTGTAAATTATAGTTTTTGTTTCTGAAATCAATCTGGTGGGGTCATATCCGGTAACATTGTTAGTGAAAATGTTGATCAAGATGAAGCTTTTTAGCGTGTTTTGGTATAAAGAGATATTATATTTTATCTTAGAATAACTAAAATAATACTCATTCCACAAAAATACAAAGTTAAGAATATCAACTCATATATTATACCGATTAAACTGGTCGATACAACAATGTTTCATATAGTGACAGAGTATAAACATTGGCTTGATCTAAATAATGGGATAAGAGAGGAACGTCATTTTTTTAGTGTCCTGGCAGCAGCAATACAAAGATCACCAATCTATTAAGAGTTAAATTCATAAATAATCTTTGTATAACAAATTCTTACTTCTGTAAGTTCTGCTCATTTATTAAATCATCAAGATATTTTCACTTATATAATGATTAATGGCTATGCACGACAAACAAAGCAATTATATTACTCTATACAGACTATAGTTACGATGTTCTGACAATTTTTGAAACTCATGATCATTGAAAGTAGTATCACTGATAGTTTGTCCGTAGTTATTAATGTATTCTTATGATTTTTAAGTATATATCTATATATATGTACCAGAACTGGTATTTATGTTCATTAAATATTATTATATATATACTGGTCTACATTATAAATTAAAGTTGCTCATGTGATCAAAGTTGCGCCGTTAAGCATTGACTCAAATAGTTCTTAATTCTAACTTTGTCTTGGAAGTATTTGAGGTTTAAATTTAGACTATACCATGCACTCACTTTCATCTGGTTCACTTGCTGGAATAATGACATGAAACTCTAATCCATATAAAGACATATTATAGAAGTTGCAGTTCATGCAAATATAATGCTGTTTTTATGTGCATTTACCCCGCGGCAATTCGCGAGTATTAGGCTACGTATACGTGCATGGTTTTATAGCTGCATTTGAAGCCATTTTGGTCTATAAACCTTAACCCTGAAAAGCCTTGTTTATACAGGTGACTTTCATAATGTATCCAAGCGTAGTAATATTAATTTATATGTATCTTTTTGTGGAAGCCTTGAACTCGCTTAAATATTTGTAAAGAATATCAAAATAAACATTTACTGAATGGTGGCGGTTAACCATTCATATATTGGAATGGATACTGCATGCATGTTCAATTAACTTCTGAAAAAGGTCATAAAATCAGATCTGTTTATATAATATTTATTTACTGCGCAACTGCTTCTATCACTATTTTAGCTATATCCTTTAAAGAATGAGCTCCTGTGCATGATAAATTCTCGCGAGCCTAAAGGCCAAGCATGCATATAAACCTCTAACGAGCAAAAAGTCTTGGTCAGAAAGGTTATATAGTGAATCTTTTGCAAAGGATGTCTATTTGCAACATTTACTGAATAAAAAGTATTATTGTGTCCCGTTTTTTTTTTCTCATTAAAATGCACATTGTATATTTACCTCAGTAATCAATATTTTAATAATCAATATCTTAATATACCCGTGTCTTTGTGTTATGTTTTAACTCTAAAATCTCAGTAAATTATATCTACCGCGGGTGTCCCGCAAAAAGCTGGACACTGTTTGATTTCATGTAACGTAAAAGCCATAAAAGCTATCGCAATGAAATAAAGATCATTGCATTCATGATCAGAAAGGACTAACTTAGATTTTGATAAATGACACTTGAATTTATACATGCAATATTGAGCGAGATACAACCAAAATAAAAAATATCTATTATTCAACATATATAACTATAGGCCACATATAAGGTTGTTTATGCTAATTTTTGGCATTTTCAAAAACTGTAGTTCAACGTTCAAACATCAATAACTCAGTCAATATTGCATGTAAGTTCAAGTGCTATATATCAAAATCGAAGTTAGTTTGCAATGATCTTTATTTCATTGCGATAGCTTTTATAGCTTTTACGTTACATGAAATCAAACAGTGTCCAGTTTTTTTGACCCTGCTATTCAGGTACTATTGCAAATACAAAGTCCAAATGAACTTGGAATAATCAAAACAGCGCACGAGGCGACGCAAAGGCGCGAGCACTTTTGCATTCTGTGCGCAAAATAAACAATAGCAATACTGTTCTGATTTCCTGATATTCAGTCGCACCCGTCAATCTTTTAGCCCTGTATAAGTGCTGTATTATTTTAAGTGCTCGCTGCCATGCGCCCTAGCTGTATTCAAAGGAAAACTTGAGTGCACAATATACAACGGTATAAGTGATGGATTAAGTCCAGCATGTGCGCGCACAAAATTCGTTCTTCGGCGCCTGATTACCCTTCAAAGTGTGAACGCGATATGAAAATGACCTTCAATGTACATTTTTTAACTGCCGTTAACACATTCTCATGCTTCAGTGAGCATTTAGGCAGAAAGCAATTCAGTTGTGAGGTAATCAAGATAAAAACGAGTCAAAAGTGTAGCTATATACTCGATAAAACAGAATATGTTGTTTGTGGTATTCTCTGACCTATGCGATCTTGCTCGTCTCATACATTGAGGTCATTTTTAGCCCTGCTTAAACAAGACACAATGTATATGTTGTTTTTGTTTAGCTCTTAGCTCGCCAGTATTTTTCGTTGCTGTTTTGAAAATATACGTAAGGATAAAATTCAGTATACTATTTGCCGTTTGGTTTTCTAGCTAATTATGACTAAACAATGTACGAAAACTACAAAAACATAAACCGTAAATTTTCTCCTCGCGTAAACACTTTTGTGAGTTCTCGAACATGAAAATAACGAACTTTTAGTAATGGTGTCATATCTTTAAAATAAAAACAAACCAATGAAAATATGCGCAGTTATGCGCAGTTATGCGCAACTATACCCTACTGCGATGAGCTTATAAACGCTTTGTTCTTTTATGTCGCGGAAATCAATAAACTACCTTTGCTTGATCTCGGGTTAAGAAGTCGAAACAGTTTCTGATTTGTTTTCAGAACTGACAGGAAACTATTTAGTTTCAATGTTACGAGAAGACGATTAGGATAACACTGTTTGGTCTTCGGCACCTCAAAACCCTTTGTAGTGTGAAATAACATGGCCGTTATTATTCAATAAATTTCAGTTTGATTTTACGGCACAAAAGCACCGATTGTATAATGTAATGCGGTTCTCATACGATATTTAAGTCGAAAACAAACAATTAAAAACTTAGAGTACAACGTGGCTAGCAAGTTAAATACAAGGCAATCAGAATACACTAATCCGTGAAAGTATTAGGAGAAAAGCGGATTTTGACACCTCCACTTTTGTTCGCAAAGTGATCGGGAAATGTTGGCGCCACCAAACGTTTTCGCGACAGACAAGGACGCGAAAAAGCTCGCAGAAGTGTGACCGTCTTACACTCTCTTTTCAAGTAATCTATTTCCAAACATACACAAGTAACACAACAGACGCGACATAATATAAGACCTCAAACTTGTAAACATATTTGTCACTAAACCCAAACATTACTGTGCGGTAGGAAAATCATGAGAAAACGATTCAAATTTGTTGCAGTTTTTCGAAACGTTGTCACAAATAGCAAGCTAGAGCGGTTCATAAGTTTATTTCGTGTACAAAAATGTTAGGATTAAGAAGACTATGCTGATAATAGGCTTTGGGGTTCTTTGCAATGGCCAAAGGTAAAGGGCAAAAATGCGCTTATGGCCGTCAGATGCAATGGAAACAGTTTAAAACCAACTAACCTGTTTGTTTCGGCTTACTTCGCGATTCCTTCATCCATGGAAATATCTTTCTATTTGCTGTTGTCTTCTTTGAAGCAGCTTTAGCCTGTTTCGTTTGATTATTGCCATCCTCCCTTGTCTCATGTTGTGCTTGCGAATTACGACAAAGCTCTAATTCGAGCCTGCTCTGCGACAGAACTGTGCCTGATTGCGTAGAAGTCGGGTTTTGATTAGCAAATATCAATGAACCGAGGGAGTTCTCTTCTTGCATGTCAGCGTCAGGTATTTGATAAATGACTGAAGAAGATAAATGATGTTCGTCTCAAGGTCGATCCAACTGCGATCAATGGTTTTCTGACGTTTTAACAGCCTACGATGATGGGATCTGCCAGGTAGACGTCGAGAATGAAAAATGAGTTTGCATACCAAAACTAACGTTGATCGATGGTGATTTATGGGTTTTTCGGGTCACGTGCGCGTCGTCAGCCAATCAGCGGGCGTCATCGGCGCTAGACTGATAGCCGGCGCCCTAAATGACTAATGAAATGGGATATTCAAACAACATTCCAGTTTATTTAGCCTACGCATTATTCAAGCAGCCTAAAGGAGCCCAAGCAATGAAGACTCGTCAAATTGACAACTAAATATGCGATGTTTGTTGATCTACTGTATTAGTCACAGACTATGCTTTGCGCTCGCTCATTTTGCATTTGTTGGCGTCGTGACGAAATATACTGGGACTGTTAACGAAGTGCCAGACATTATGGCTACATAGCCAGGGCGCAGGCCCTACGTCTGGTTCGTTTCTCCAACTACACAAATAGCGTATTTAACGTTGCTTTACGCCATACAGACATATTTTACAGTCGAGTATATAACATCAAAGGTCCTTCAGTATATTACTGGATGAAAATTTTCGTGGTTTGTATAGAAATCTGGTACATTCGTGTTTCTAATGTATCGATTTATCACGAACATAATATGTTTGGAGCGAAAAACTCATCCATCATTTTTGTCATTTTCAATTTTTCAAAGGATGCGAAATCCGGTTATGTGCACAGATATCTTGTACCAAATGTTCATAAAAGAGGGGCTCTTTCAACAGAATTGTTATGGGTTCTTTTGAGCATTAAAATATTTGCTATATTCATGATTATGGGGCAGATATGCACGGTTTTGTTTAGATTGAAATGATGTTTTAAGCCAATGAACTCTAATGCAGAGTCTTAAACGATTATACCTTATGTCTATAATATGTTTGTAAATTTGTTTAATCAGCCGATTCGCCGATGCATACATATTCAAATGAATTTGCAGGCCCATCAATGACAATGAGATAAGCCTAAGTTTCTTCTCAGTATAACAGTCGATTCATATATATTTTGCGATTTTATTTACTTTTATTGCTCGTATATTTATATTACTACATATTTACGTCATGTACACAGCAATGGCCCACTGTCACTATTAAACATGACATGTTTTCAAATTCATAAGTGGCTTATTCAATGGCTGATAAATGTATTTCGATATCATGATGCTTCAAATAATTTGCGATAATTATAATTCCCATTATACACATAATTGGAGTGACTTATTAATATATCCATCTATAACATACTAATATGTCACTCCAAAATGAAAATCCTGAACTTAACGTTCAGTTAAAAGTCTGGGATTGGGAAATCCCTGTTCAATGTTACTAAAACCGAAAATAATTTAATTTAAATTTTAGATGCATTTGCGGGCTTTCTTAGTGTCTAAATTTTCAAGCAGGTTTACTCCCGTACTGCATTGAACGTACTTCGATGATAAAACCACACTAAATCATAGCAAAACGCCGACTTATTAAAAAAACTTTAACCCTTACACGCCCCCCCCCCCCATAACAAGGTCTTTGCTATGTCCCTGAATACCTTATCAGGGGGAGAAAATATAGTTGGAGAAATTGAAATGAAGTATTGAAGACAATGGAAAAATCAATTTCTCAGAATTAATGATCTGTTCAATCATCTATGACTATGACTATTGATAAATCCTGGGGTTTTCAGCGAAATCTTCAACACTCTATATATAGAATTAGGTTTCGTTGTTTACAAAAACATTTGGCAGAGTGCTCAATGGATATCCAGAGCATAATTAAATAAGTGCAACGACTCAACAAATTCCACTAGGCATCTTTATTAAAGATGAGCATGACTGGCATAGAAACGTAGGGGCCGTGGGAGGTAGGGCTTAATTGGCCCTCCGTAACATTTTGAACAGGGCCGGGGCTAAACTCGCCTAAAAATAGCTAGAATAAGTACTATATAAGGCCCGTTTGAATGCATGCTGCAATTTTAAGTAAGATAGTTTATTTTGATCGATGTGACCGAGTAGAGTTAAGAATGTTCAGATGAGGGTACATATACTCCCTTGTGGGATCTACCGCACGTTTGGTATGAGGTATTTCAAATGTAGACAGTGGTGCCGCCGGACAGTAGGGCAACTTGATAATTTGTGAATCACAATTCTACGAGGGTCCAGGTGATGCAAGGTCCCCCGAAAAGAATCGAATTTTAGGTCTCTGAAACGGCTTCCCTGCATTGTGGAAACACTTGGAGAAAAATGTAAAGGTATCGACTTTTAACCGTGTCAAATATTGTAGGAGACATAGTCACATAGAGCTTTACATTTGAACGACGTGCGCTAGTCGGATTTGATGTAATATCAGTCAAACCCGACAATTAGGACATCAAGTCCGAGGCGAAGCCGAGGACTGAGTCAAAATGCGAGGAAACTCTAATCCAGTCCGAATTGGAGAATGTGAAATGACATCTCATACGAATAAATTACTACTTAGTTAAAGTTAAAGTGAGATGAATTCGATCTAATCCAAGGACTGAATTAATTTTGATCCAGTCCTAGGACTGGATCAGTATACTTCACCAGGTGTCTAGGGGCGCTTTCCTTTCAATTGCCTGACCGGTCAGACCCGAATTCTTTACTCTGTATCAATGGAAAGATCTGGTCTATGTTTCTCAAATATCTAGCGAAAATGGACCTCATTCTAATGTTATCTAAAATTTCCGGTCAGATAGGTCCGAAGCCCAAATGTTTTGTGTTTCATTCAACAATTTGACCGTTCTGACCGGTCTGGTCGTGTTAATGGAAAGCGCCCTAGTATTATCATGTGAGCAAAATAAAGCAATACCGTTCGCTGATTAGCCTGCGTGGCAGGCCCTCAATTTTAGGGGGGGTCTGATTTGCAGCGGGCAGGATTTTGGCGTTTCATGAATTATATTAATTAATGAGTTTGAGATCGAATCTAAAATCACGCTCTGAAAAACACTGGGTTGTGGCGGCCGCCATCCTTTCTCCTGCTTGGCGGCGCCACGGAATGTGGAGCCTATAGTGTAGGCGATCTGTTCAACAGCAACTGTCTTCGTTAAAAGGATTTTAAAGAAAACACTTTAACACCGTGATGGTTCGAACGAAGGCCTTTACACCCGTTTTCAAAATTACGCGACCAAAGACGAAAATGCTAGAGTTGACATGTCAGTTTTATGTCATTCGATCACGAAGTTCAAACTTTGAGTTTTGCGGTTCCTTTTCGATGTATATGCTTTGTATGCTTTATAAAAACAGACTTACAATGATTTTCAAGATATTTTAGTGAGAATTATTGTAAAATTTAAGCACGACAAAATCATAACATCACCGTTATAGTCTAGCGCGCGTGTTTTATACTGACAGCTATATTCCAGGATAAATTGTTATTTTTCAAACTTTAAAAGTCATTCACGGCACATATTTATGTTGGGATGGTTTGTATTGTGCTTTAGTTTGTATATCTAAGTTATCTGACTCATTTTTGTTCAGTTTTGGTATTATAAATACGGTTTAAAATGTCTTTAGACAGTTTGTTTACGTTTGCTATTTTTAGCAGTTCTTGTGACATAAAACTGACATTTGAAGTAGGAGTATTTTTCAGGGAGGTCGCATAATTTTGAAAACGGGTGTAATTCATTTGATAATTACAGTAACTTCCAGTAATCCAGACGTTGATATTTTTCTGTGTTTTCAGCTATAGTTGTCTCCTTAACTGAAGCATCTGAGGCATGAGGTATATGATGTACCGTATTTCCCCTATATTTAGCCTCAGCCTGTTTTATTCCCCCTTCTAATTAGTCCCCGTCCAGAAGCTGAAAATCAAGTAAGCCCCCACGCTCTACTAGCCCCATATTCTATTATTTAAATTATTCTTTGTAAATCTGTAGCGAAATATGATCATGAACACATATACGTTCTATATACAGCGTTCACTGGTAATACCGTGTCCACATAATGTTCACTGATATAGCTAAATAATAGTAAATTCGGTAATACTATGAAATATTCAAATGTACAATTGCCTAGTGATGACTCTATTTAACATTTATGTAGCCCCAGCCCCTATTTAAGGCCCCACTTCTGATAACCTTTCAGAACCACTGGCAAAAAATAAATCTCTACATATCCATGCAATACATTTTTAAAATTGTGTTATTTATTTTTGTATAATACTACAATGCACCCTCATAGTGCCCCGTAATCATTAATATTTCTGTCTCTAAAACACCAGAATTTTTTACATCTGACAACACACGATTTTACTTGTCGAATTAAGGGATATTCGCATTTTTTTAAATGACCATGCACTGCATTTATGAAACAGCTCTAATTACTTGTGTTTAAGTTTAACAATGCATGCATACATGCACGTTATTATATATTCCTGACACGGAAACAAACGCCCTCGCGGAAGTATTATGGGATTACTGTGATTACTGAAAATTTAAGTTTCAGTACTTGTCTCATAACTAAAGATTATAACACTATATGTACAAGTAACCATAATAACTATTTTCCTGCGATTTATATACAGCGATAAAGATTTATTCCAAATCTAAGGAAGTAACAATAAAGTGTTGGCTTAGTATAAGAAAGTTCAAATAGAAGTCAATGATGCGGTTTCCGGATTGTGTAAAAGGTCTAAACTATAGAGTTTTAAATTTCAAGGTGAACAGACAAAATTTATTGACAGTGGCTTTGGAGACTCGTTGGAATTATTTGTACCAAAATGGGAATTTGATAACCAAAATTATACATTTTTCACTGCGAGGTTTCGATAACACATTCGTAAATTCTTACGTAAAAATAGTTAGTCAGGGCTTTACAGGAAATTGTGGGTTTTCTCCAGGTATTTCACTTCAATTCATGAGTCTCTTCAATTAAATTAAAGAGGAAATTAACAAGGTAGGTCAGGAAAAAGCGGCTAGAAAGTAAATACCCAAATAGTCTAGTGAGCAATTAGACGTTCTCTATGTCGAGAAAGTCAAAAGCTAAAGTTTACATGATTTTTTATGATTTTATCAGATATAAAACCACCAACATGGTAGTGATTTCCTTTGTCTTTTCGTTATGAATTATTAATGAGTTTTTAAGGTGTGATAATGCGCGCGGGGGATATTGAGAGAATACGAGAGAAGCGTGTAAAACACGAGGCGTAGCCAAGTGGTCGCTTTACGCTTCACGAGACTAGTACACGCTTCACGAGACTAGTTTTTCTATTGTGTTTATAATATAGAAGATATTACATAGTAAGATCGACGTTGGAATTCTCCTAACATGTACTCAGTGACGTCACGCGCATGCATGCTTTTACCACAGTAGATACTAGATAGATACTAGACCATAAGTGTCACTCAGACGATATTTCGTCCGAAATTTTACGAGTGCTGACGTGAAAATACGCCATCATATGACGCCATCCTGGAGTGCATACGGAAGTTTTTCATAGGTACAAACATAGGTACAAAGTGCCGTGTGCATTCCAGGATGGCGTTATAGCATGTTTCGGACGTTTTTCCCAGCCAAAACACATAGGAGTGACCCTTTTGGTCTAGTATCTATTCTGTACTTTTACTGTCGCTTGAATTTTTAAACGAGCGAAGGGCAAATGCCAAAACAATACAAACTTTTGATGCTATAAAGCATATAAACTTATGATGCTATAAAGCATATAATTTCAGCATCTGGGCTGCTGGATTTGCCATGAAAGACGTTAAATTAAGTGTTTAATCATAATCAATTTGTATGCTGTTTATTTACAAGGTAACAACATAAAAAAAACTTTAAAGAGATGTTTAACAATATGTTTGATAAGCAAAATATCCTCGCTATGACGTCACATTGCATAATGACTTTCTGCAAAACTTCAAAATATTGGGATATCAGAAAGTCATTATGCAATGTGACGTCATAGTCAGGATTATTTGCATAACAAAATTGTTAAATATCTCAAGAACAAAACAAGGTAAGAGAGTTTAGCAACATAGTCTGCATATTTGGTCATTTTGAATTTTGCTCCGCACAATGCAATTAATCATCCAACAATGGCGTGAAACTTCGCATGAGCAGCACTTTGAATCTCTGCTCAATTGTCAATTTAAATAACCCTGACATCTATAACATGGATAAAAGTGAATTTGATATAATGAAATCGATTTTTAGCTTGATGATTATGGTATAAATTTTGATGGAGGCCATTTTGAATCTTGCTTATATGCCTGATTAACTATATATAACCCGCCAAATTAATTACTACTTCTAGCTATAAACAGAACAGTATGAAATAAGAAGGAATATTTAATTTCGTATAGTTATAAACAAATAACACTATGTACAAAGTAAGAGCCCATATTATGAAATAAATAATCCGTTGGAATTAATATTCAACTCAATATATGCGTATATAATAAACTATATGATCGCAGGTTCAATATGGGAATTTCAAAAATGTTTAACCTGGGAAATGCTGATCAGCTGTTGTCATTGCCTATGGGATTAGTATCTAAAGCTGGTTCAATCTATGTTAAACACTTGGAATATAGTAGCATGCAGTTTATGATTGGTAAATGAACTGAGAAAGACCTGGAACAAATGAACAATATTATCTTCTAGCCAAATAGAGATTGCCATCACAATTCCTGTAATACCACGGCATAAAATATTGCTATATCCAACGGAGCTAGCCTGCTCGCAGCCCGAGTTTGTTCCTCTTTGTTTCGGACTGGGAGCAGGTTAGTTATAGATAGGTGGAGCTCAGTGGTTAGTGTCCCTGCACTATTAAGTAGGCTACTCAATTTGCTAATAAATAATGTACCGTAGTCGACTTTTGAGTATCAATTGTCTACCTGTAATAATCCGGTAGAATGGGACGCGTTTTTCTCACATTATGGGAAACGAAATGTGAAAGTGGTCCGAATCTATGACTTTATATTTTTTCTTACGGTTTTTTCTGAAACTTTAAGGGAATATATCTATGTGAATTTTAGGTCTTTTTGAGTTCATTGCCACTCATCTTTACTAATAGACGGCCGGCCAAGTCATCAATTTGTACAACTGGATGGCAACTTTATGTTAGAAGTTGGTAACGGGCATTTTCTTATAGTTCAAGTCTTGGTGAACAAGACTATATGTGTTACCACTTCTGATTTTTGCTTTATAGCCAAAAAATTGAGAATTTTAAAATTTTGCCTATTAAATTACTATATGATGGCAAAAAATGTAAAATTTCATGTTCTCTTATACAAAAAATAAACTATACCACTAGAAAGAGCGCAAAAAACTATATATAAGATAATTAAGCGACTAGTGCGATTTTCAAGCCGATTTTGAATTAAAGATGGTTGAAGTTGGAAAAATGGGTACTAATTAGCATTAATTTGGTCATTTCTGCATTTTTTAACATTAAAAACTCGAAATAGGATTGGAAAAACGTAGAACTCACTTAATTGTCTTATATATAGTTTTTACGCTCTTTCTAGTGGTATAGTTTATTTTTCGTATAAGAGAACATGGAATTTTACATTGTTTCCGATCATAAATCAGAAGTGGTAACACACAGAGTCTTATTCACCAAGGCTTGAACTATAAGAAAATGCCTGTTACCAGCTTCTAACATAAAGTTGCCATCGAACTCTCTTTAGAGGCACTTTTTGCCACCTTGGCCGGCCGACTATAAACAGTCTGTCAATAAAATGTACATATTCAGTTCACAATCATAACACCACAATGGGTGGCCGGCAAATCTATAAACGAACTTAACTTTAGAAAATAAATAAGAGTGGTGTTCTTGCATTATTGTCTTTTTCATGATTCTATCCTACCATCTTTAAGACAAGTCATAAACCATCTCTAGATCACCGCACTGAAGGATATGCAAAACCAACCGTAAAGGGCGGGAAATTTGAAAACTGCTTCATCAATGAAGCTCCATTATCGTGACCTGCAAGTCCTTGTGGATATATAAAAGAATTCGTTTTGTGTAATTCTTCTTTTTCTTCCTTCACTCTCTCGTCTTTCTTCAGTTTCATTCTTCGATTCTGGAACCAAACTTTCACTTGTCGCTCTGATAACTTCAATGAGTTTGCAATCTCGATTCGTCTTGGTCGGCAAAGATAACGGTTGAAATGAAACTCCTTTTCTAACTCTAAAATCTGAGCGTTGCTGTACGCCTTTCTTTTACGCGAAGAATCGACGAAAGGTTCGGGATCTGAAAGACAAAATATCAATATTCAATTATTTTTTCTTTCTGAAGCATGGATACTCTAAAGGGATACTCTAAAGGGATATGGCACTAATAAAAATTTAGTTTGTCTCATTTGAAAGAAATTTTAAAATTATGTGGAAAGCTTTCTTACAGATTCTTCAAATGTTGTTTCGTTCTCAAAATATTTTCATTAGAATCATCACAAGTTAGTGACCTGTCCGCCATCTTGAATTACGGTGGATATACATGTTACGCCAAAACAGAGTACGTCACGCAAATATTTTACCCAGAATTGTCATTATGAGTGCAAAACTATACTTCGGTCATTATTTGAAATTAAAATTTGAATGACAGCGTTTTACTGATGAACCTACTAATTGTTATATGGTCACAAGAGTAGTTTTATTTGGCTAACCCTGCTTTTGACGGTCACCAAAACTCCCGTCAATGAGATAAAAATTAATCCAAGATGGCGGACAGTCTATTGTTGCCAGTCGAAATATTTCAAGAACTAAGCAAGATATCAGAAAAGTCGGTAAGTAAAGGAGTTCATTCAAATAAGGCAAACCTTTTAAGCTCTAGATAAAGATTTCCAACTTGTACAGTACCTATGTTTACGGTAATTGTCCAGTACATGATTGTTATTGGGTCGCATAATATTTGGAGTTTTAATCTTGAATTATTCTCGTCAGAAGAATTATAGGATAAGCTCCATTTCCCTTCAGTCGGTGCATGGGTGCTTAGTGACCCGTCATTCAATCATAACACATTGCTTTTTATTTAGGCTAAAATGTTAAATGTTAACTCACATGTGTCAATTATTATAATTATTCACTAACGTCCTCTCAATGCTGTTCAGCCGTTGTAACTCATTTTATATACACCTAATAGGCCATAATAGCATATTTTCAAGACAACGGTTTCCCCGTGTCTTCGTGATATATAGCCAAAAAGTATTTCTTTGACCCTCCGAAAAGCGTTTCAAACGATATCTTTCCTTAATTCGGCCGAATTAATATCTTAAATTAAATTATCTTAATAATTTCAGGCCTAATAGCAATTCCAGCTTTTAATTTATGCGCGCAGGGGGTGATAGGAAGTAAGGTGCTGATTATGCAGAAAAAATTCAATTGAAAATTAAAACTGACGAAACTTCAATATTTACAAGTATAAGCACTTGGTATAAGTTATCACTCAGTGTTTACACGGCCACCTTTTTTATTTTTTTCAGCATGATCGGCAATGATGATGCCTTACTCCCCCCCCCCCCACGCATAATCTAAAAGCTGGAATTGCCTATTAAGTCACTAAGATTATACCAACACTGCATCAAATCAGATTCAAACTGGATCCAGTATTTAATTGTTGATTTTTACCACGAACAGAGACAGAGTATATTAAGTACTGTTTAGTAACACGACCTGCGAGTTTATTAATTAAACCTCGAATTTTAAACGGCATCAAACACGAGTCACGACTACCGGAAATTCAACAGATATACTGCCTTATTAGTATTCTTTATAATTATAAGCGTGCTCGGATTCTAATTTGGTTTTGGAAATGCAAATCATGCATGGGATTTCAATTGTTCATTATTTGTGGCCACGGCATAGGCCTAATACAAATTCGTTGCTATACTGTATTTACTCTAAATCGTATTGAAATGAGCCACGATTAATAACTGTTTATATAAAACCGACAATATATCGTTGTTTTACAAATTGAATAGCTAAGGGATATACAAGTGTTAATCCTTCATGTAAACATGTATTTGTCACTTTAAGCAGGTCTAATCCCCAACACTTTTCCCTGTACTATGTAGTACTATACAGTATAGCTGCATATTTTTGTATCCCAAATGATTTCTGTCACATTAAGTTGAGCATTAGGCCCTATATATGCTATTAGATATTTTCAGTAAGAATAACTTAACACTGCATTGGATCGAATATTTGACTGATGAAGAACCTTCAAACCAAGATTTCAGTCAAATTTTAAAAAGTGGATTATATTGGAAATTGATGTAATAATATATAACCGAGCTAGCTATTTATGCCTTAGTCAGCATGAAAGCTTACTTCTTGGATATGCCAAAAACATAATCATAGATTTTGGTTATTGAATAGTATTTTCCTCGCCATTCATTTGGTCAAAAGAGTAGTAACATCATACATGAACTAACATATTATATATTTAAAAAATGAGCCGATATGTTGAGAATCCACGTTTCATATGAATACATGCATGCAATTGTCAATTGTCCTGCTCAGATTATATGATTTCAAGAAATCTTTATACTGACACCTTTATTGAACTGCATGCCCATATGACTATGGCTATATTGCCCTAATATTATTGCTCGTTGTAGCTACTTCGAAATATCGGCTGATATTTCCCAATTCTGAATGCGAATTTCATTCAATTGAATCGGCACACTAAATTTCTCTTTTCTGTCACTGTAAATCAGTTGCATCTAAGAAATTGCACACTATAGCTTTTATCTATATAAACTGATTCTTACATTCAAACCCAGTCATGTATATAGCTAGGTTTGGGCAGAGTGTAAGTTATGTAACAACATGTCTTGCCATTCCGTATATTGTTTATAAAAAGGTGCGCGCGTTACTTTAACAACCAAAATGAAAGAAGTATATTCAAATCCAGGCATTACTTCCGTATTATAGCCTACATAAAAAACGAAATGTTCAATATGGTCATTGAATATTATCATCAAATGTGCTGGCTTATAGCCTATATGAAATCAGCAGTCAATTCTAACCAAGAGTATATAATAGCCTAATAAAGCGCAAATTCCTACACTATATGCTTCCAGTATCGACAACTAAGCGAGATAACAAATAAACAGCTATACGAACACAATACTGAAAAATCTTTTGCCAGGGGTAGCCGTTGTTCTTTTGGAATTTTTGCTTACACAATGTCTATAACCCTTCCGTAGTATTAGAGCGTATACTTTGTTTTGATTTTTCATGTATAGCTACTTGCGTCCATCGCTATTGAACGAAAGCTTACGGGACAGTCACTTTTCTCACTTTCATAAAAAGTCTTATACAACGGTGTATTAGTGAGCCAATCCTTCCTCTATTTTTTGCATATATATAAGCCAATTATAAATATATCTGTCCTTGTCGGTCTGAGCAAATTTAGAAAGCTTTTTATTCTTTATGATGCTCGTACAAATGTACATTATATATGCGTTTCCTTCACTCACAGTAAGTTAAACTTTAAATATGGTTTCCAAAAACAGGAAATATATTTTGATAATATACAACATAGTATTGATATGTTACGGATCATCTTAAGTGGAACGGAACAAGCTCTTGTGTGAGTATTTTAGTGGTAAATGTAAAATGATATATTATTTGTGGTAGATCGAACAGTCCTTTTCCTCAAACGAAAACTCGGTCTTACAGTATTATCGGGTATCTAGCCACTTTTTACTAACTCATACAACATTCTCAATAATGCGAATTTTTCTTAGTTTACATTACAGCCTTATTTTCACATTGGCTTAACAAATGTAAATATCCAATTTGTCTGAATCAATAATCTACAGCGCTTTGTGTGATGGATTAGCGAAGTTGCTAAACGCGCCACAGGTAATTCAACAACAGCAATGTGTCATAGACGGGTGAATTTTTACACCAACCAAGGAAATTGCCCAATGGCAAATCTGTTTAAGCGAAAGAGCCATTGTTCGCGCGCGCGCCTGAAAACGCACCCTATATATAAACCCAACTGAAAACAAACTATCGAAATTCGGATATGATGTGTAGACTCGCGACCAAAATGGCGCTGGGGAAGGATTTGGGCGAACGATATAAATGTTAATGTTCTTCTCGCGAGTACTTGAAGAGGAAATGAAAACAATGAAGGCACTCACAGCCCAAACACCAAGCGAAATTTTCACTTTTTGGTGTTAGTTTGCCTCTAAAACAAACATCATACACTCGAGAAGCTATTCTCATGCATATTTAAATCGAATAAAAGCTAGTTGACACTTCTATGTCTGTTACTCAGGCTTTTGTCGTGCGCAATTTAGATGCTGAGTAATATTAAATCGTTTTCAGTCATGAATTTAACCTATCGCAATTATAGTCTTTCGTTTACTTCGAATACACTGTGTTAATAAACAACGTGGCTAACATGATTATATGGCAAGAGTATACAGCGAGAAATCTGTTTAAAACCAAAAGCATTTTGAAACTAATTTCGTGTTGGGAGCGGCTCTCGTACCTTCATTATTCTCGTCCTCTTTTCCAGTCTTTCCTCGTTTTTTCTTCATCCATGAATAAACTGGTTGTGGGTTCGCCATAGACGTCGCTTGTTCATTGCCTCTGTTTTCCTGACTCGCCGTTCCATGACTTGGTAGCGTTGTCGTCGAAAACGACCAAAGGTTTGGGACCGTGTATCCATTGGAGGGTAAAAATGGAATGATCGGTTGTATTGAGCTACATGCGTTCCTTGTTAAAGCAGTGTCGACATGCTGTGAAGAATGCACCGGGTCGACATTGGAATGAAAGTATGAATTACTGAGAAAGTTAACGTTGTTCATCGTTGGCGTTTTATGATTTATTTCAACTACGACACATGAAACCAAACTGTCAGTAGAAACGGTGCGTTAATTGCAATCCCAGTCCACGTGACCGTTTTCGACCAATCGGCGACGAGAATTCCTGCGTCTCCGGCCAGTTTGGAAGATTTATGGCCCTATTGCTGTCCTCTATTTGCCGTAATCTACAATGACAGATCCATTTTCAAGCCTCTAGATTTATCGCTGTTGTCTGAGTTCTATATCATTCCCGACAAGATGTCTTAGAAATGATTGGTCCATAAACTGATTTTGAGGATATATTTAGCCCCCAAAATATTCAGTTCCTCTTTGGTCATGTCATATAAACACTTACATATCGTATAAATGTACATTGTACTAAATAATATGTAGGAAAAACATTCTGTGTTGTATTCTTGGATAAGTTGGAACAGACGTTGGGCTTGCGCAGATCTATAAGTGTGGAAAACGTGTAAAAACTGTTAACATTAACGCGACTTGTGGCGCCAACGACGATTTAAATCGCTTCGGCCACACCTTTTGTTCTTTTAACATCGTACTACAGCAACAACGAGCATCTTAATGTAACTAAATATGCATATATTTTGTCATAGTTTTGCAAGGAGTTTGGCAGTGTATTCGTTAAACATTGAAACAGTCTCCACCCATATAGGTCAATTACGTCATAATTGATGAAAAAATCAATATAACACATGTGAAGCCATTAGTTTATATTTTGAATATACTATAGTTATTTTGTTGCTTATATATGTTCCCATAGATCGAACTGGTTAGATTTTGTAAAATTCAGGTAAAATTATGTATTGCGTGGCCTGAGCATATAGACCGCCAGTCTGAAATCGCTAATGTACAAAAATGATTTTCGTTCCGCTGCGGAGAAGCATAAATCAAATTTGACAGTGGAATGCAGCAAGTGCAAGGTTCTGTGGCACCGAGGAACGTGCGTTTCAGTTGCGAAAAAGAGGGTCATATCTCATTTTTGACAGTTATGTCACGAGCTGTGCGGTCTGTCGCCATAGCTATGATTTATGATACTTGTTTTTGCCCATGATAGCATGAGAAATGCGTTCCAGATTTTGGAAGAAAAAATAACCCTTGCTGACACATATCCCAACATCTGTAGTCTTTTTAAATGATTTACTGTTAGCCGTTCGATTGACCTGTAAAATAAAACCGACGCAATCTCCCAGACTAAATTTAGTGCGCAAAACACTGAACAGGAGGCACAACTAATTCAGATATATGTATATATATGAGTATACGCTGGAACTTCTGTTAAACCTATCTTGGGTCATGTAAATAATGGAAAAATTCAAAATCAGGGTTTTAGTGAAGGATGGATTAAGTCAATTACAAGGTACTTGTCGGTTTTTTATATGGATATTTTTCGAGCGCATTGATTCCGCGACTAGCATCGCCCTAAATGCGCAAACCGGCAATTTAAATATTAGCCATTCACTAAGAACAATAAGAGACGTAAAAGAACAGACGCAATTAGTATGTATTGCATTTCTATTTGTTAAAGGAGCATTATTGATGTTTTTTCTGCGATCGCGCACTTGATAATACGATGAAAACAAAAGATGTTTTCGGTTACTTAAAGTGTGTATATGTTCAAAATTAACTCGATCAACGGAAACTATGCATAATTGGTATGGCCGTTGCGCAAATTTTAATGAACCTGCTTGCATGAAGGGCCTTCAAGACGACAGTATATGGTTGAATTTTTTTTTCTGAAAACCGAGTTAGCTAAATATCTAAGTTCTTATATGTCCGACTTAAGCCGAAAATATTTTAAAAATTATGTACGCATTTACATTTTACATGTAGGTCAATGGTCAGCTAAAAGTTTGCGTGAACACTGAATCTATACGGTATATACTGCATGTTAAATAGCCATTAGTGATATTTTTGTGGATAAATTCAGTCACTGTTTATAGTTACAATTAAAAATGTGTATGTATGCTTATCGGTATCGCACTAGCTGGGGCTGTATGTTTGCTATATATGAACGGATTATTCTCTGACCTATCCTTATAAAGTGAAAATGTTAAAAAAACTTATCCCCGATCTTTGGGATTTACAAATTAGCTGATTGAGTTCTTTTTAGGAAAGTTTATATATTTTGATTAACCGATCACATTTTTTTGTATATAGCTGAATCATTACATGTTCAGCTCCTGATATAGGAATGCACCGTCGAGCATGTTCGTGAGCATAGAATAATTTCTTTCAATCGTTTTAATTTACTTCGAAATTAACGATTTATAAATGGTTCTTCGATCTGTGAACATATTGGCGAGCATACTGGAACCTAAACCCATTCAAGCTTCATGCACTATTGATAAGTATAATACTCCATGCAATTTCGCTGTAACGAAAAGGAACAGCGTATAATCGTCTTAAGCCGAGTCTTAATTCTCTCCTCATAATTATGATAATTTACAATTTACGAAATAATATACAAATCATTCATCTATGGTGGATTTATCAGACCAAATTTGATACGTTGTTATAAAGTATAATAGTTCAGTTCCGTTTTGAACAAAAACAAACGAAAACGACGTTTGGAATGTGTCTACACTCTGACTTTAGTCCATATATACATTGCATGTTCAGGTAGTCGTGAAGCCTAATGCTTTAAATGAAACTTTTGACACATTCTTGTTGTTTTCTTAAGTTTGTCGCCTGGCAATGACGGCAGTGCGCGAATATGCATGAGACAAAGTGAGTTTCTCTGGTTTTATGTAGACATAAAGACTGGCGCAAATTTTTGAGTGCGCGCTATTTCAGGTTGGGGTGATGTGAGGAGCTTCCGTAAGACTGTCTGACTAGCTACGTGTTAAGAAGGTGCGAAATGTGGTGTTGTTCCTAGGATCTCTGACTCTGCTATCCCAAACACCACAGACAGTTGTGTACAAATCTATATAATTTGTACTATAGCAAGTGTATACACTGCACAGGACGTATTAAATTTCATATTTAATGTTGCAGTTTTCGTTCCAAACACTAAGTACTTTAGGATTACAAGTGCAATGTTGTCGAGCACCTGCTAGGCCACCTAAAGACAAATGTTCTATTTTAGTTCTTAAACATAATTTAATTGGCTCATATTACAGTTCTCATAGCTGAAGTGCCGAAACAGAAATTATATTATTGAAAATTACTAGTCTATAGGTATAGCCTGCACAGATATGATGTTAGGCATACGATTTTCAGTAAATAAATTATTCAACGTTTAATGATAGAGACTACAGTTTTGAGTACATTAGCTATATGAATGTTGACATAAACTTTATAGTTCGAAACATGACGCAGTTAATTTCAGGCTGTGGGTTTATGTACCCACCAAAAGGAAGGAATGATTATTATTAAAAATATTGGTATGTCATATGGGTTTTAAAACAGCGCAGTTCAGTCCAGTAAAACGCTTTTCGTGCCAGTCTTTTTATGTTGCTAACTTCTTTAATATTCTATATAATAATTTAGTTTTAATTTTTTCTTATAATTTATGTGCATGCTCAAAAATAGGTGTCTGTTTGTGTTCTCATGAAAATTATCCACCTTTAAAAATTTCAGACATTCGTAGTATACTGTATACTATTGCAGCAATGGAATTTCACATACGAGACGCTTATGTATTATACTATAAATGTATGTTGCATATATAATGTACATTTCAGAAACATTATTATTTACATGTAAAATAATATGAAGATTCATATTATTTTACATGTAAAAATGTTATTTCGTTCGTGGAAATGGTAGCTTTTTGGAAATGTAGCGCATAATTTCAAGGAAAACTAAATGGCATGCTTTCTTGAATGAAAGTACGTTTGGCCGGTATACCATTTCTTTTAAATTGATACAAATAGATTTTGGATGTGGAATTAAAATGTTCAAATTAGCAAAACATGTATGTATTGAACTCCATATATTTATAGTCGAGGTCCAAGGCGGAAAAGCAATATAAACATTTTCAGCATGCAGAACTCTATTCTTCTATAGAATAGCCCGCTACATAATCCATCATTTCATTACCTGTGTACATGCTTCTTTTTACTGACATGCAGCAATATAGGTTCATATAAGAGCGTGTTCCTGCATGTACGTCAAACCTTGATCAGGCGCAGGCGTGGCTGCGAGTATGAACTAGTTCTACAGTTTTCATTTGCAAAAGGAGTTAGTGTTGTTCGTATTATTAGTAGTACAAAGAAATTATGAGGAAAAGCAGCAACAATCATTGACAGTGTTCTACAGGTATCGACTGACCAGATCACATTAAACCTTACAAGAACATCGCTCTTACATATTTCAACTATGCTGCCTGAGAACACGAATTAGAAGCACTGCATTATTCTTAAATAAAAATATTATAGTATAGTATAGTAAATGCATAGGAATAAATTTTTTATGGACTCAAAACTGTAATCCACTTAATTATATTCTACCAGTCTATAAAGTGTACAGTACAACTTTCGTGAAACTGTATGTAACTAATTATACATGGTGCCTTATAATAAGTAGTAATTCTTACAGTTTTTCAAAATGGTCAGATAATTTACTACAGTCATATACAGGTATATAATCAATTTATAATCAATATTTATTATATAAAGTATAGTGCTTTATAGAGATTTCGAGCACTGATAAAAGTGATAATCTCACATGTGAGATTATTCATGATAATCTCACATGTGAAAATTATCGCTTTTCAATTATCGCTTTTCTGTAAAAATTATCGCTTTTCAAAGACTGTCCTTTAAATTATAATAAACAGAAAAATACATGGGTGCTTGGAAATACCAGATTTATTTCTCGTGTTGAACATGATATCTCACTCGTTCGCTGCGCTCACTCGTGAGATACCATGTTCAACACTCGAACTGAAATCTGGTATTTCCGCGCACCCATGTATTATTCTCTATATAATCAACTCTCACAACGTATGAACGAGTCAACTCAAATGTTGTAGATATATCATTTGTAGTTGTTTGTAGTTCTATTGGTGTTATCACATTCCAGTTGTTTTGGTAGTTATTCCAAAAGTTTATGATCTCTTGCTATATTGCCTAACCCACCTATAAACTCGATAAGATATTTTAATGCGATCAACTGAACGTCAGTACCCAAAGGTCCAAACCCTATTGATATCTTCACAACTGAAAGAAAATGAAGGCATTGACTATCATACTATTTAATATTTTATAGTTCATGACACAGGTTACCGTCCTACTTTCATGCATGCAGATTTCATACTGTTTCTATTTTTAAACTTAACTTTTAGTTCATAGTTTTCTATAATATAATACAAAGTAAATCTAAACGTTTATAACTTCCTGATTAATTGTTCTTGTCGAACATTTTGGACTGAATGTCCCATACTGCAACATTCAGATTATGGTTATATTTACATCAATTCTCAGTGATTGGTGAATCTGCTAGTCTCATATATTTGCGTGCTCTTCTTCCTGCTCAAGCGAACTCGTCGTTTATTTGGGATGACCGGTTTCTTTTCCTTCTTCCATTTCATACGACGATTTTGGAACCAAATTTTAATCTGTCTTTCTGACAAATCGAGTGAGTTTGACAGTTCTGCTCTTCTTTCTTTTGTCAAGTAACGTGTGTAGTGAAATTCCTTTTCCAACTCCAGGGTCTGTTGGCTGTGGTAGATTTCTCGTGTTCGTTTCTTGTATGGCTGTTTCACGCTCCAGGGAATGATATCTAGTGGTGAATACAAAATAGTCATTATTATTCATGCATGGCATGCACATATACTGATATAGCAAAGCAGATGGCATACATGCAGCAAGACTTTATACACCTTTAAATACCATGTGTATACATGACATTTATTTCCATGAATTTTCATACATTATATATAGTATTGCCCATATATTGGTCAGCACTTGGTTCTCAGAAAACTACATGTGCAGCATGTTCATGGATTTCAAGGTGCATTGTGTTCATTTTGCTTGTTCGGCTGCTCTTTCTAGCAATTGTAATGTCTATAGCTTATTTGTATTATAGCGTAGTAAAATTATGATAAAAGTAGGAAGATATATTTGGGTGTAGCAGTACACTGTATATAAGGGGAGCCATAGTTTTGCCTAATTCAAGGTTGCCACTGCAGTCTGTTTCATTCAATGAAGGAATCCTTATAAGTGGGCTCACCTGCACGTTCCTTGATTGGATGGAATGGCTGCAGTGGAAACCTTGAAGAAAGCGAAACTACACTTTTGCTGTATGTATATGATACCATGCATTAGCCGACTTCATGAACTAAAACAGGCTGGTATATAATAGCGAGCTATATTGATATTTGAGCATCTCATGGCCACTGACAACTTCACCGACAAACTCCCGGTTAAAATAGATTGTCGTATTGAGGAATTAACTTACAGTATCTAGCACCCATATTGCATGAGGAATTCAAAATATTGGATCGGTGTTTAATAACGGAGAAATTCACCTTACTTCGTTTGGGATACCACTAGTAATTGAATTACGACATGGGCTTACATCAGTTAGGGCTTTAGTTGCAACAAGGAGTGAGAATCAAAATTGTACATCGGAATCAGTACCCATTTAAACAGTGATACATAGTTTTGCATCTCTTGTGTTAGCTCATCCAGTTATAGAAGTCAGAGTCTTTGTGTTTATGTTTTAACTCTCAGACATTTTGTATTTCATTTCTAGCTCATTGAGGTATAACATGCACCCTGACACATCATAAAAAGGCGAATTATTCTGCATAATATGGTTCTTCGTCGCCAAACTCGGTATGAAAATGTTCCATTTTTTAAAACTTTTACATACTTTCTTTCAGCTGTACTTGTGCATGGACTGGATGGATACAGCCTAAAACACTAGTGGCGTGTCTTTAAATTCAAGATGATTTGGGGAGGGGGAATTGAAGTTGATGAAAGTGTTCTTGCTTTAGTAAATTTTGTGTTCTCCTCTCATGAAAATTTATTGTTTTAAAATAGCTATAGCATGTATTCCTTAGGGGTTCATTTAGGGCCATGATCAATATACAGAGCACATATATTCATAGTGAAAAACTAGCATACTTTTTCTCAACATAAACTAAAATAATTACTTGACTCAATTCAGAATTGAACCTGCATATTCGATTCCGAGCCAAACGAGCTGACGATGTAAAGTTTTTGGTATGAATGCACTTGTGCTCCTAATTAAATTGTTAGCCAGCACAAATCGAGGCACAAATAAGCAGCAGTTTTCTTTCAAAACAATTTCAAGTCATATATTTTGTATTATCTATATATAGTAGAACATGCTATGATTGCAAACTAATTTTTCCACAATCCTGCAAGTGGGTCCATAGATGTGCAAATGACTTGGACGTGCTATATTAATTGAACCCAAATGGAATATGCGTTTATTCTATTTCTAAGCCCTTAATGTAACTGTATATGTATTTATAACAAAACCATTTATCAAAAACTGTTTTCTAACTAGACACTATAGGTTCAGCTGTATGTACTGTACTCGAGGTTAAATATGTCCACCAGCTTAGCATCTTCCTAGTTGTTACATTTTATTGCAAACATGCAAATTATTTGACTGTGGCAAACAGACATGGGAACATGATTTCGTAGTACAATTTACTTGTACAGAACTGTTCTCGAGTCTAAACATGACGCGCGGTAGTTTCTGCATTAGCGCCCTGACAGGAAATCATAAATCAAAGGGCGCCAGGAATGGTGTAGGCTGAGATAGTGCGCTTGCAGTTGAAACAAGAATGATATCTTTAAAAATATTCACTATGGATACATAAAATCTAGATCAAAGCTTCACTGTTGTAGCAAAAGGATATTTTAATAGAGATAATGCAGATATTATTGTATTCTTGGGTGTCAGGCTAACATTCACAGGTAGTTAACTATAATTAGCATACTCTGCGATACCTGAACGTCAACGCTTCCATAAGTCTGAATTCTTCGACTGCACAATACTACACTATTTTGCTAAATGATTATAGTAATAAATAACAATGTAAGTTAAAAGTTTCAGTAAGTCAATCCTGTTTAAAAGGTGTTGTATAAGCGTTGCATGGTCTCACGTAAGGCGAAGAAAGGTGTTGTTATTCATCTAAGAACCTCTTATAAATTAATTGTAGTTTGAGTATTTCCTTGTTCTTTTTCTGTACTATAGGAAATTGCTTTTGGGCTTAATGTATTGAGCTAATTTAGGTAATGTGATTGGATCACACGATGAAATCTTTCCAACTTAAGCAAGTTTTAAGTCAAAACTCGCTATGATTACCTGTCCTTTGCTGAAAACGACATGAATTTCTTATCACATTCTCTTCATTACCCGTTGGTGTTAAAGATCTTTCCCTCGCCAGCTCGTTATCGACTGCGTTCACCGTGTCATACACTCCCAAAAAGGGATTCTGTTTCGTCCACATCCCTCGATGAATTTCCATTTCGGTTATCAAATTGGCAAGCGAAGCCAAAGAGCTTGACGTTGTGTTGGTATTGTTATCATACTGTTCCCGAATGGCAGGAATAAATGGATAACTTGTTTCATGATATTCCTGTGTATATCTGCTTTCTAATTGCGCTTTCATTTTTGTGAGTATTGGTCTTGGTCTATCAGCATCTGCGTAAGCAGTATATACACCGTGTCTAATCATATGCCACACATAGTCACAGTGATAAGCAATGCGATGAATATGATTGGTTCACAGCGCCACGCGCACTTTCACACCTTTTATTAGAAATTTTACCGCGTTTCTGAACCCAAAAAAGAATGGCCTGGATAATGTTTTGCACAAAATCCTAAAATCCCCCAAACAAGAGATTATTATACTAATTGATTTTTGTAAATTTCTAAATGAATGTCTGCTCGTGGAATATATTTCAACGGCTTGTTAAACGGACCCCCTGCAATTAATGACGACTTAGCCTTGTTAACCTTGTCATGTGATAGTCCAACTTTAGCTCACTTGTTTTGTTTCCTGTCTATTTCTCCTATCGTGGCATATATCGCCTTCCTTCACGAAAAGCAACAAACGTAAATAAACATACATTAAAATATGCTAATTTGTGTCTTGGATAGTAAGGTTTGAAATGTAATGAGGTCATTTCGACTGCATTGATCGGTTGGGTAATTTGCATATGGATGAGCTAATAACTTAATTACGTTGATGATTGGCTGTCTGCTATAAATATCTTAATATACATTGATCTTCACGTTTCATATATGATGAAACACACTCCGAATATTAACATGTTGTAAACTCAAGACAATGACTTTGAAATAAAGTCGAAATATTATACCTTGAATTTTGTTATCTTGTTTGATTAAATACATAGCTGGAATCTTGAGTTTAGAATATGTTAATGTTCGGATTGTTTCATCTTCTGCGAAATTGTCTGCTGATAAAGGATTTCACGTTTTATCGAGCTAGGGTGTAAAAGTTTAGATGTTGTTCAATTTGAGCGTGGTATTACCATTGTCATAATACAGATGCGTTTAAATGTTCTTTTATGTACATCTTCTTCATGTACATTCTTTTATGTATACATGCCTCATTTCTGTGACTGAAATTGAATAGGATTTTTGAACTTGAGCGAGGTCAAGAAGTCTCTATGCAGTATATCTGGAGCAAGAACCTCATTCGTTCATTCGGCCCATCAGAAAAGTGAAGCCAAGAATATAGAAGAATATTTAAACAGTCTATCTGTATTATGAGAGTGGCCGAATGCAACTTGAGCACTGTGCCAAGGTTTTTTAAATTTTATTTATAACTTACTTCACTGATTTATGAGTGCAATGGTAAAATATTTTCATGAGGTGAAAGATGGATTTTTTCTGCACGAGACGACAGCCGAGTGGAATGGAAAATTATATCTTTCATCGAATGAAAATATTTTTACTATTGCACGAATGAAAACATTCATTATTTGTTTTATATGACACCAAAATAGTGAAAATGAATCATTTTATCGAAATTTTAAGTGAATTAAATACACAACATACATACCTCAGTTACATGTGCATTGTTCAGAAATAATTAAAATCCAACATAAAAGTGCCAAAAATGTTTTGGTGAAGAATTAATATGATAATGGCGGTCATTTAACTCAACATTATATTTTTACAGTGAAATGAATATTCCTGAAATGAATATTACCTCCAACCAGAAATTTGAAGCCAAACTTGAAGGCCATACCCAGTCTTTTCACGCATGCGAAGAGCACGGTCAATCCGTCAACATGAATATGTATTCTTGAAAACCTGCTTAAAATTTAGAAAAAGAATCTTTTTAACAGCGCTGAAAAAACTTTCTGTTAATGCATTTATTCGGGTAAACCTCCTAGTAGACTTTACTTTTAGTTTCTTTCTTCTTATTAAACGGGCAAGACTGGGGGTCAGATTTGGCTTCAAGAAAAAGATAGGCAGTTTTTTGTATCTGAAGGTAGCATTCCAGTTACATTCATTTCACTGTATTTTTACACCTGCCATTTTGCTTCACACGAGTTATATATTTGAATTTAACTCCATCGGTCTCAGTATGAAAATTATAGTTAAATGAACTACAGTGCGATTACAACCTTACGCTCAGCAATATGGTAATGTTTATTCTATGATCACGTGATCATAATCAGCCAATGAAATTACCTTAATTTAATGATGTGTTATATAATATGGGATAGTTTATTGTAGAGGTTCAAGTTGGTAACACTCTTCCCTGCCAGGAGATGCCCTCAAATCCAGAACTGATTGGGGCGTTTAGTTTGTTTTTTAACAATATCTAATCGAAACTCACAGCAACTAAGTGCCTTTTATTTTGGGACCCAGGACATTGTGGGCGTGGCGGAGGAAGGGCGAAGCGAGAAATGGTGTAGTTCCATTTCGTCAAGCTCATGAAATGCTGCCTCAAATTCAGCAAACCTGCCAAAGTCAACCAAGTGAAGGTCCTAGGGCTAGGGTGGACATATGACAGTGTTTTTGTACTCTTGTGGTCATAGTCGATCCAGGTATGGTCTGGAAACTCGGCAAATTCAAAGTCTCTACATTGAGCTACGATTTAATATTGATATAGCTTCGCTGTGCACAAATCGTCTGAAATGTTGCTTGTTAATACTTCCACAGTACAGTGCGTGATTCCACGTGATCATGCCATTGGACCTGGTTCTTTTCATTATGCCAAAAATACATTGTCTTCATCGGGTACAAATTTGCATAAACATGAACAAAAAGATGCATGGGTTTCCAAACATTTGCATGGCTTTCCATGCAGATCATATCTTGGTTGACTATGCTGTGTACATTTGCTTTTGTCGATCTATACTTTGAAAAACAAATCCAAACTAACATGGGGTGAAAGTAAAATGTTGCTTTAGGTATATTAATTCCGTGTTCGTGTCTCTGCAATCACACATTACAAGAACTCCCCAATTTGCTGTGCTGCGATATGCTCCCTAAATAATGATGAATAATCGTTAACGTCTATTCAGATCTCAATCCGATCTTATCACAAAATATGTGTAGAGCTACGACGTCACTTGCTGTGCTTGACATGGTATCTCTGAGATAATTCAGACAACGAGACTTGGCACGGTGACTAATGCATTCAAGCATAATACGTTTTAGTTTGTTTATATGGTTGTCATGGGAGCACATTGCAAAAAAGCCCCGAGTATTTTCACTCAAAAACGTGACTAAAATAATGCACTTGTGCTCATGCAGTGACTCAAAATTTTCAGTCAAATTAATCAAATTTATGTGCAAATTCATTCAAGTTTTTGTGGTTAGCCCGTTCGCGGGCTAACCATTGTGTACACTCTAAAAAAGTTGTGAAGGTTGTGAAAGTTGTGAAAGTTGTGAAGTTGTGACGGAGCGTGTTCGACTTCACTTCGGAAACTATCGTTAATGCCATGAGGCGATGATAATAATAAATGCACAGTCCACAGATATGCGAATAGAACATCAAGATTTCATTACAAATACAGGTAAGCCAATTATTTTCCATCTCTAGGCATTTGTTGTTGAAAATTTTCATTTATAATACTAATTAAAAACATCGCAATTTTGGTCTGCTCTGGTAAAAAAATATTTGATCAGGCTCCATATTTTTGCGTACATAAATACATATTTCAAAAAGTTGAACGAAGCCATTGTTGCTGGCACTGATCTGAGGTCCACATATCAAATAGAAACTGAAATATAAAATCAAAACAAACTTGCCATTGTGCAGTTAAACAAAACCAACCTTGCCATGTATTTGTGCAGGTATATTGCAAAGAGCAAACCCAGTTTGGGGATCCATATGCTACAAACAGGTGAACGATTTACAAACCACAACACAAAACAACCTTGACTGTTGTACTTGACTGAAAAATATGGGTGTAGCGATTGAGATCTATCCTTCAAGAATTGGTTCACACCATAATTTTACACAAGGAAGAATGTTAATGTCTCGACTGAAAGGTAAAATCTGGAATCAAATGTTGATGATGCACTGTTTAATGTTGATGATGTATTTTACTTGCCATGTCTTAAAAATGTAGTGACTAAAACCGAAAAATACAATGAGGTGTGCATGTGGTATGCACAGATGGTATGTTATGTTCATGTACCATTGCTATTAAGATTTCAAATGATGTTGAGGAAAATCCAGGTTCTAGAAATATTAATGAAATAGTTGACCGTACTTATACAGTTCATGCCGACTTCACCAAGGTGATCAATTAATGTTTAGATCTAATGCTGGAAAACAATGTGTTGCCATGTCACTATGTTCTATTGTTTATTTATGAAATTAAATCAGTTAATATTTGGGACACCCCCATTATGAACCAGATTTTTGTTTATGGCAACAATTTATATGGTGTACATGCAAGCGAGGGTACCTCACATTCACATGCTAATATGGCTTGAAAATGCACCTGTATTTGGTGTTGGCAAAAATGAAGATGTCATTGCATGTGCATTTGTTGTTTTGGTGTCGAGAGATTGCTTCTTCCCCTTTTCAACATTGCTTCTTCCAGTTTGCGAGTAGTGAAACATACTGTAGCATATGTTTTGGCCTTTGGGAACTAACTGCAGAACTAATGCACAACTAATGACATTTGACTAAAAGGAAACAATATGTTATGTTATGTTATGTTATCATGTTATGTTACAATATTGCTGAAGTGGAGAAATGTAATATATTTCCAGTAGCCTGCGTGGCAGGCCCTCAAATTTATGGGGGCCTGATTTGCAGCGGGCAGGAATTGGCGGGCTCCGGGGGAGGATTAAGGGCCTGCAGGAAAGCCCGCCTTTCATGACTACACGCCCAGTCATAACATAATTAATTGTTTCTAAAAATATTCGCTTGCACGTAAACATGTCAATCAAACAATATTGCGAATTAAACTCAATACCGCTCAAAACTATAATACAATTTAATACAATATTGCAGTCTTGCAGATTTTGTAAATGTTGTTTTAAATTAAACAGCAATTTGGCAATTTTAGTAAAATTGTTCATGATCCATCACAAAAAACCATCAGAAAGAAAACAATCTTTCGGAATTGTGCTCTCAGATTTAATATATGTGAGAAAGTTGGCTTTTGTTAATACACTGCAGTACTACACGAGAAGTTTCAACACCATTACCAGCCCAAAGATGTAGAAACATCAGGAAAGCGTAAACTGTTAATTCCTGACACGCTGACCGTGGCGCTAGTCCATTCAACCAAACTGAATCAAATCGCGTTTGTTCTCCGCGATGTTTTCCGGGTAGTATGTCTAGAACTGAATCGAAATCTGCGCGTAAAAGTACAGTGCTTGTTCAGCAGCAATACAAAAGATGATCTCACTGGCCAGTCATCAAGAAATAGCACAGGTACTGCAGACAACGTGGATGTAAATACTGATTCCGACGATGTACAGAAGTAAGCTCAACATCGACGGTTTGAAAACGTGTGAAGGGCGTTCGTGAGCGTTCGTCACTTAAATTAACTGTGCTTAAATCACTAAAAGTGCTTTTAGGTCATCCGAATGGGAATATTGTGACTCGAAACCCTACAAACGAAAAGTGGCTGGACCACAGTGACGAACGCCCTTCACACGTTTTCAAACTGTCGACGTTGAGCTTAATACTTTTATATAGTACATCATCAGAATCAGTATTTACAATTTTACAACCATGCACGTTAATTGTTTGCAATTATCCTGTGCTATTTCCTGACGACTGGCCAGTGAGGCCACCATCGATGTTCAAGATAGATCGAGGATTAGATAACAATATTGAAATCAACAAATACTACGGTTTTCCACTGACTTGGTATTGACCAATCAGGTGATCGCATTCACCGTCCAGAATCTGAACGGCGTGTAGTCATGAAAGGCGGGCTTTCCTGCAGGCCCTTAATCCTCCCCCGGAGCCCGCCAAAATCCTGCCCGCTGCAAATCAGGCTCCCCATAAATTTGAGGGCCTGCCACGCAGGCTATATTTCCAGTATAGTAATATTACTTTTTTAAACATTGTAGATGGAACAAAAACACATAATAATGGCACCTTAGGAGGTAATCGGTAAAACTAACCATCTCCACCACCATTGAATTCCGCCTGTCGAATAATGCTAGACTGTATACTGTATACTCTACATCACTATGAAGATGTTGAGTGGTTGAGTGGTTGAGACGAATATTTTACCTGTCTCATTTGTAAATAATGAGAAGCCTGACTATGAAAATTCCTAATGGTTGGTCAACTTATAATGTATCAAATGGTGAAATGTAAATATTGGAAAATGACACTGTATGAATAAACAAGATTTCCATCTGTCAGTGACCAATTAAATATTTCAGATCAGGAGCAAAAGCTGCAGTGTATGGAATCAGAATGAATCTTATGCACCTTTAATGGTGTACATACAGTATATCAGGACGCTTTTCAATTAATAACAGAAGATATTCATCACAATTTTGGACATATGAACTAACATCTGCTATCCTGGAATGAATGGTGAATGTACTGTATCCCTACTGTATCCCCAAGAATAAATGACTTTGTTACTCGAAATGACTAATAAATGAAATGACTAATAAATGACTTTGTTAATCAAAATATCGAACTTTTGAGGGCAATGCCAATCCGAAGATTATTTAAGCTACTATTTTTAAGATTAGTATAATATTTTTATTATCAAGATAAATTGTCTAGTCTAGTTATTGTCGTATGGTATACTAAGCTACGTTGAACTAGTTTTCTGAAAAGTGTTTAAATTAATTATAATAATTAATTTAATTTACCGATGTACAAGATGCGGAATGCGGGATATCGTATTGAAATCAAATGTTTGCTGTTGACAAGGTATTCTGTCCCAGGAGTGAATTGGAGGGGCGGGGCTTTCTATTTTTGATGATTGCACAATCTCAACCATGTTTGAAAGTTTTTTTTTTAAATTATGGTGGCGCTTCTTGAAAACTGGCACCCTATTAAAGTGTATCAATCACCCTATATCCTTGCGATAATTTCAGTGATTTCTATTTGATTGGCATATAATCCACTAACGCTGTACGCAAATGCATGTACACTTAGCATATCTACTTTTATTGTAAAGGCTAAGCACATGTACGCAGTGCGTACCTATTTTTGATGATTGCATAATCTCTTATTTAAATTAAATCATGTTTGGAAGTTTTTTGAAATTATGGTGGCGCCTCGTGAAAACCGGCACCCTATTAAAGTGTATCAATCATCCTACGTCCTTGCGATAATTTCAGTGATTTCTCTTTGGTTGGCATATAATCCACTAACGCCGTACGCAAATGCATGTACGCTTAGCGTACCTATTTTTATTCCAAAGGCTGACCACATGTACGCAGTGCGTACCTATTTTTGAGTAAAGTTTCAACTAGTTTATTCAATTTTATGAGTAAAGATCTACTTTACTAAATAAGTTATTTGCTCATAAATCTGTTGACTAATTGTACTCAAAAGTTTGAGTCACTGCGCATTGGTGCTTCATTTTACTCAAATTTTTTAGTCAATTTTTTTGCAGTTCACACTACGTAGCTAAGTCTGTTTCTTTTCCTTTATATGATTGTTCTTGTAGGCATGACAACAATATAACAAAACAAAAATGTGTAATTGTGCCAAGATTCATTTATTTCGTTGATTGTCTCTTGATGATTATTTCTTGATGATCTCCATCTTAAATTTGGAATGAGATAAGATGGGAATAATCGACTGTAATCGCCATTCATCATTATTTCAGAAGTACGTTTTACTGAATACAGGTTAAAAAATTTAGGCAAAACTTTCATTAACACTTATTCAGTGTATTTAAATTGTCTTCATTATAACATTGAAACGAAATGAATAAATTTCACCCTCATCATATATTCCTTATAGCAACTAAACTCTGCATGCATGCAGGCTTCAAGATATGGATTTGATTTTATATGCATGTATGTACAGCATTCTCAATACTCCCTTTCGGAATGTATACGTTATATGGCTATAGAGCCTCGATTTCGTGTATGTGAGATTAGTTACATCCAAGCCCCTGAATCACGAAAACGAGAGTCTTATAGCCAACGTTATAAGTACTTAGTATACCGGAAAGGTCTATATGATAATAAAACCGCGCTCAGACGACCAAGTTTTCCTTGACAAGTTTCCTAGCTTGATTAGTTTTATTTCTCGTGTGTGCATGTATGGTCAACAAGTTTCCTTGACATGTTTCCCGTTTTCCCGACAAATTCTGTTGCTCGCGTGCACGGAATATCTCACGTCAAGGCCGACTTTTATTCGCCAAAACCATAGAAATATTCCATATACACTTGTCAAGTTTTCTTTGGCGGCCGTACACACGAACATATTCCCCGTGTCCAAAAGCTGGCATGACTAACTTTGAAACGATGCTCAATTCCTTGTCAATTCCTTGCCATACACGCGACTGAGCACTGAAACAAATCTTGTCAAGGAAAGCTTGTCAAGAAAAAATTGCCCATCTATACAGGGCTTTATAACAAGTAATACTTTCACTTTCAACTGGGGTTGGTATAAATTAATTAGACTAAAAAATAGATATCGGTCAAATATCAGACAACAATATATTGTGACATATAAATTGAATTTTTCTAATAATTTTATGCAACAACTGCATGCATGGCAGCTGTCCCTCATTAAACTTTAACTAATCTCGTTAAGACGCTTATTCACTAGTCCAAACAACGAGCAATTTACATTATTAATACACTTCTAGAATTTATGTTCTACAAACATGTATTTTTGAATGTGCAAATTGCAGTATAGATACTATAGTAAAAATAGAAATAAAATCTCTGAAAATTTAACTCCTGCTGTTTAAGAACAAATTGCGTAATTTGCTATATATGTTTTAAAATTTTCAATGTATGAATCGTTGTTCCATTAAATTTCTTAACATTTTAAGTCGTCATTGCTGACGTCAATCTCCAGTTCGTTTAAGAAAGAAAAGTTCGACCCGTTACTTGGCTAACATGCAAGTCGAACTGGAATTGTGAAATAGAAGTTATTCGGTATGTTTACATTCGTCCACAGTCGGAGTAAAATAATGCAAAAATGTGCTATAATTATATAAACCTGCAAAGTAAACGAGTGGGTGGGCAAGGGCAAGGAGTTTAAGTCTTTTTGTCTCTCTTATAATAAGCATTAATATGGAATATAGGAAATAAAGCATTAATATATGGAATATTAAATGTAGGAAATAAAGACAATATTAAAACGTAATCCTTTTCCCTAAAACATTACGAAGAGTTTTTAAAGGCTGATTTATAACACTATCAAACTTTCTGTGATCACAGTAGGAATTTTAAATACAGATACAGAGTTTTGAAATATTTGTAAAAAAAATGTTTGAGGAAACTGACTCAGTGTTTAACAGTGAGTTATATCCCCGAGACATTTCTTACAAATTCTTCAAAATTTCTACCGTAATCACAGAAACTTTGACAGTGTATAAACTAGCCTTACTGAGGTATAGTAATGCAAATATAATCTCGAAGAGTCAGTGCCAGTAGCTATATATACATATATATATATATATATATATATATATATATATATATATATATATATATATATATATATATATATATATATATATATATATATATATATATATATATATATACATATAAAGTATAAAATAAGTGGGTGTTAAAAGGGGAACGAATTAAGTCTTTTCTTATAGAAGATTGAATAGACTAATCCTTAATCCGGACGTTGTGCTCTTTATTGGCACGAGGCATCTGTCCATTATCTTGTCAGCATTAAATGTTTGGCACACCCTAGTTATATTGCAACTCTTGCCCTAGTCAAATATATTGCTATTAATGGATTACTCTATTTAAGATTCGCCCTAATGGAGAAAAATATACACAATTGTGAACGATATTGACTTTATGTGCTTTGGACAAAGGTATAGCTCATAAACTTTTACATCTTTGCATACATGCTTTTTAATTTTGTATCCTGGCAACGGTGCCCCCTGACGAGAGCAATCATTTTTTGAATGTCTACTTTTAAACAAGAGCTATAATTATCTGGCAGTTTTATTAAGTTGAAGGTTTCATACCAGTTTAATTACATTCCCCATGGGATATTCACAGCACTTTGAAGCCGCTGTAGTTAAGATAGCACAGAAAAACAAACAAAACACGGTTGGAGACTATTGTGACCTTTTGCTTTATTTGATTGGAGCATTGACCGGCGAACAGCAAGAAGCTAGGTCAAATATTGTGCCCCTGACAGCGGTTATAAACCTATACGACTGCTCTATTTGTTTTGCATGAGGCGAAATTTTAAAAGCAGTTTAGTGCCTTACACAGTAGGCTCGCAGAGCTTTCCTGGCTAGTTTACACAAGTCTTCCTGATATCATGTGTTTCCACTTTGCAAAGTATCTCATTGCCAAACTAGCTTTTCCCCTAAAGTGTAAATAAACAATTTACCACCAAGAATCGTAACTGTAACAACTAAATCTTGTCTAAGTAAATAAATCACCAGTGCAGTAGCAAAAGCCAAAATATTTATAGTACAATCAACTGTTTGCTCTTTGCCTTTTGAACAAAACTTTTGGGTTTCATGCAGTAAGCGTTACAAGGTGGCATGCAGGTCGTATTCAAATTCAGAGCGAGAAAGTCATTACAGAGAATTTCAGACATAATTGTTCCCACTTTTCCAATAAATTATTAAAGCCTTTACTTCAGTATGGTGCCGTAATTTTTGCTATAATTTACATAAGGCAGAGACGAAATAGTTAAAATTCGCCCGCAATATATATAGTTGCCGATTATCAAAGTCTGCGTGCTTCGCTTCTTCAATTGTAGCTATATAAGCTATTATTAGAGGGAGTGATACATGTTTGTTGTCAGTACAGTTGAACTGATAATTATATGGCGTTACACCGCGTTTAATATTCTCAGTTACATAATTAATTATAAACAAACTGGCACCTAGGATGCAATTATCAAGTTCCGTGTGCCGCTCAACACTCGTGGTGTGATTAAAACACGACCCGGCAATGTTTCGAGACCATGAAGGGTGGAATGCTTTTGTAGAAGGAAATTTCCAGTATAAATTTTATACATTTTATTTAGACCTAACCAGAATCAGCTGCGAGAAATGCGGCTAAACGGTCAGGCATCGAACCTGCGGCATTGCGATCCCGGTGCAGCGCACTACTAACAAACTGAGCTTGCGTTTACTCAGTTTTGTACACCATCGTGTGCCAAAACTTGTGCGTAAACAAAATCGTTCAAAAATAGAGTTATTAAGATCCGTTTACACACTTCTGATGCATGTGAATGAGTTAATAAGTTATTAATTTTCTGAGTATATTTGTGCCTCATTTGAACATTCATACCTTGAGTTGACTCGAGATCATCCTGCAAGACGAACGCCGCAGCAAAAATTGCAAGTGTATAACATGCAGGCCTTAATGAATATAGTTTACCCTCTTCACTCTTGATATATATGTCTTTAATCTTTTCAATTTAATTTCCAATCTTTGCCAGATGTTACCATGCAGGGACAAATTTATTTAATAATTGACTGAATGTGGATCTTAAATTATTGAAAACTCTTTTCTTCGGTCTCTGCCTAATTATTCTGGTCAGTGTGGTAAATGCAATATAAGACTAAACTTTGTGGTAAATTGGTTTTGCACGCTACGTACTGTACAGTAGCTGTGCATGCCTTATCATAAGGCGGTTGATTCGTCAACAAACTTTCTTTGATTTAAAAAGTGTTGACATCGGATATATTATGAAGTCGTACAGTACGCCCGATAATTGCGAAACACACACTTTGAGATCGATTTCCTTCTTGAATCGGCCTCAGCTCGTTTTTCGTTATCGACACTTGGCTCAATAGTCAATACGGTTTCGGATCGATCTAAATGCTAGTGTGATAACGATTGCGAACGGGGCCAAATTTGATTCCCCAGACTGCCAGAGTAACTCTTTTGGGGTCGTTTCAGTTGAGTTTGACATTTTCAATTTACAGTGTATATACAAGATCATTCTGCATGTAAAGTAAATAAATATATTTTCTAAAACATTGCGTGAAGCAAGCATATTTTCACTGACCCCTGCAGTATACTGTATGTGTTGAGATCATTTGATTTAGGTGTATTCAACTAGTTGCTTGATTGTATATACTCACTAAATCTGAAACTGATTACATTATCGAAAAATACTGCATATAACATCGATCTGCAATAGCAATATATATTGGGGAATTTATAATTTCTATGATTGGACAGTGAATAATTGAAAAATCATATAATTTAATTTAGTGAAGCATTTCATTTTACACAACATCAGTGTGTGGTCTAAAGCTATAAAGGTTAAAATGAAAATTGTATTTGTATAACTTTTGGCTTTTTAGCTTTTGGCCACAGGCCATGTATGCGATTGTTTAATCTATTGAATTTGATGACATAATAATATAACGAGGCTTAAATACATTTTAATTGCATGATAAGAATCTTTTCATATATGTACTGAGAAATTTAATAATCTATTGAAATTGTTTTGGGAAGTACAGTAAATATACTTCCTATGTTAGAGGTCACAACTATATGGCGTGTATAGCAATCAGATATTTTGAAGTGATTCTGGAATACGTCGTCGGTGCATTTGTATATAAGCTTTTTACATATGTCAGTAAAAGCTTTCGAATTTTTTATATAATTTCTGGTTTTTAATTTACTCTTACAGGACAATAAAAATATTAATTTTTTTGAATAGTGCAAGTGTAACTTCAGTAAAGTGCACATGCATTTAAGATGCCGCATTTTCGTCTGATTATTCAATGCACTATATAGGCCTGCTATTGCGTTATCCCCTCATGCTGTATTGGCCTCCAAGCATATCCCACTTTCTTTGTCTTGTCTCGCAAGGGGAAACCGTGTCTATTGTCCTAAAACAAATTTATCCCTTAGAAATGTTCCGATTTCTGTCAAAAATTGTAGGTGGACTTTGCTGTCATTTCCACAGCACGTGCCCTATTCCCTCGTTCGTTTCTCAGGGGAAAATTCTTGATGCTTTTTCAGACGCGCGCTCTTCCATTTTATCTGAGCGATTTCTAAAATAGAAAGGCCATAGTTTATTTATATTCCAACACTCAGACTTTCTCGGTTGTACTGCGAAAGTTTTACAAAGTAAGCAATATGTGTTAAAGATTACAAGTTTATAAATAACGCTACCTGGAGTGATGCGAAGCGGATTGCGCGAATATCTCGTCTGAATGCGCCGCATGTCGTCCGGCCCGCTCGTGAATGCATTGTTTGCAGTTTATTGAGAAGGAACAATGAGCACTCCGTAAGCAAATCATATGGCCCAATAAGAACTTACGCGTTCAACATACTAACATTTGTAAAAGCCTTCATCAAGACTTCACGCCTATTCAGTAGCTCGCGACCACTTGGGGGAAAAGGACAACGCGAAGTAAAACCAAATCAGAGTAGGATTGGAAATTTCGAAATTTTTTTGATTGATCATCCGATCACTAGAAGGTTGGAAAGTGCGTATCTGTTTGATTAAGCTCAGAATGGATAGAAGTATCACAACTTATGGGGCATATATCCATGCTCCCTCTAGCTCGATCACTACACCGGCGTCACAGTTTGAAGGTATCAACAATTACCAATCCGCACCTCCTCTAAGACATCTTCCAATCCCACCAGAGCACAGTCTGCAATGTAACACTAACAATAATAGCCGAACTATGATAAACACTGCGTTAACGTATAGTCCAACAGCATCACAGAACTCTTATCTCACTCATGGAGTACCCAGCCCAAATTACCAAACATCTTCGCCCGTCAATGGCTTTCACAATCAAAACCTCAACCCAATCCCTCTACCACCTACCCATACAACTCCAACTCAAACACCAAGCACTAAGACGGCAAAATCCATTCAAAACGCGACAGCGGAAAAGAAACGCTGGAACACGGCTGATTTTCGTTGGATGTTCACGAAACGCAACGGTTCGATAGGTGAGTTTGAAATAGAAACTTTAATATTCGAAGAAAAATGGAACATCCATTTTCTTCCCCTTTAGTTAGAACCGTATTCTCGTATACTAGGTTTGTCGTGAGATTGAGTCTAGACAGTCTTATGAGGTATTTTCTTCTTTTCTATGTTGAACGCCAGATCAAATTTGTATATCAGGCTCCTGGCACAGAAATATGTTATAAAATACTGTGAGACCTTAAAATCTGATGGAAATTATATAGTTTTACAATAATTTAATAGATATTGATATATAGATACCACAGCATTAATTTTGCAGCTCATTCGTTTGGTAAGGTTTCTCAGAAGAATGATGTTGAAACATCTTACATGCATGTACCGATTTAAATACCAATAATAAAATGAAATATCAATCACCATTCAATTCAACGTCCAGTGCAGTTTATAAATGAATTCTTGCAGTCGTCAGTACTACAAAGACGAAAAATTTAATCTGTTTTATACGTGTACAGTATACATATATTTAATTGTCTCAGAAAGGATCAGCCGATCAGGAATTACACAACTCCTTACAATGGACTGTTTTGTTGTTACGCCTCATCGCAAGTCTTGTACTGCAAACAGTCTTGAATCATACCATATACAAGTATAGGTATAATTCTAATCCTTGATTCTTGAAGAAACAAGCTTCGTATTACTAATGTTGAAACTACCTTCATCATCCTTGCAAACAGCTGTATCCTGGGAACATATTTGTCTATATACTGGAAATTCATTCATAATTGTGTTCTTAACATCTTCTCGTCACGGGTATAAAACGTGTGCATGCATGCCAAAGAATTACCATTTTACTTTAGTAACTCATTGTTTGACTGATGTAGTAAATGATTAATAGCTATAAATGTGTATACCAGATATTAAAAAGACGATTCATGCACGCGGGAAAGCCACCTCTAATCTCGTATCTATAGTCAATATTTCTAAGTTATGAATTCTATAGTCGCCATATTTATAAGACGTTAATCAGTCAACTGCTACCCATTCGGTTTGAGTCCACCTGAGTTAAACATTACTAATAGATATAACAAGTAAAATATATAGATATTATATAGGAACAGCGTGAAAAGATGAAGTCAAGGTCGTGAATCGTAGAAGTGTGCTGCACTTTAGGTTACATGCAGACAACTATACTCAGTCAATAAGATACTGCCCAGTCAACTGCTTGATATTAAAGATTAATAGATATATGAAATATGTAACTTATTAAAAGCGTGGAACGGCGGGGAAAAGCAAAGGTATAGCCTATCGCAGCAGTTCTTTAATTCTGCACTATAGCACCAAGGTTTGTTTTGTTAATCGAAGAAAGAAAGGAGATCCCACTGAGACGATAATGAACCATCTTAAACGCAAATACACTGTGCACTGTTCAGTTTATACACTAAGGTATAAAATGACAGAATTACTGCTTTGAATAATATAGCTATTAAGTTTCTATTTACATTTCAGAATTTGTAATTGAGAAACATTTCAGGCCCAAAACTCGAGAAAAGATGGCATGCATGGCTGCCATATTTTGTATATCGTTAGATATTTCAATAAAATATTTTAATTTTAGTAATATGATTTTTCCTATCAAATTTATGATAACCGCCCGTGGTTTTCAATATTTAACATCGAGTCTTATACTTTTGAGACTTTAATAAATGCAAAACCTGCTTGTTCATTAGTGTACATTTGTACAAGATTAAATGTAATTTAAGTTATATAAATATTTGTCCTTTCTTGACAACATTATGAATAGCTTTGCATGTGAAGGTTTTGTTACTCCGATCTAGCACCTGAGCTCTTAATTTACGCTTGCATATTGCGCTGTAAATATATATATACTTTGAGTCTGACGGGTTAATGCCAGTGATGCAGTTGCAGTTTTGTGGTATGTTCGCCTGCGCATATGAACATATAACACAAAATTGTGGACAAAAATGCAGTTGCAGATTCCTCTTTCTGCTTTTAAGCGTTACATTTCAGCTATAGACATCTTTGCGAGTCCGTATTTCAAGGCCGGATCGCGTCTTTCAATCTTTTAAATTGAGAGGCATTCTTGAAAAAATAGTATTCAGTCAGGCTTTTGGGTATGTAATGAATGTAGTATATATAGGGCTCATGCACGAACTGACAATGTTCATGGATCTGGCTTGAACACACAGCTTTATAGAACTGCGAAAGTAGCCGCATATATAAGATATAGCTATGCCTATATATAAGAGAATAATTTTGTAATGATAATATTGAAATTTTTGTGTCCCATGATGACTATCACTATAGTATTAACCATAAAGTCATATTTCCTCAAACCCTCGGTCCCTCGGACATTTTGTTACGGCAACGACAGTGAACGTGGGAGAGGCAGTACCCCCAAAATGGCGAATAAACCGAGCGTGAGAAAAAGGCGATTTGGATTAGTTCTCGCAAGCCTATAAACATTTTGAATGCATGCATCATGTAGTAATAGTATACATATGTAGGTATAGTAAAAATTTGGAAGTAGTACTTTTTGGTATAGGACTTTGCAGTTCACATGGCTGTATCTTTGTACTGTAGCCAGGCAATATAATCTAATAAACACTCATTCTTATTAATCTCGTTTTCATAAGCACTCGTCACCTATAGACAGTTCAAATTGGAACGTGATCAACGTCTACATTAATAATTAATTTTCTCAGACTCAGGTGGCATTAAGCCGGTTACAAACAAGCAAGTTTTATTCATATGACAAATTTTATTTGTCAATTGCACGTGTGCATGTACGTTCAACAAATTTTGTATGACAAGTTTTTGGTTTTCTGATCGCTGATATGGCAAGTTATTTTGCCAAATTTTCTTTGTTGACCCATATACAGAGGACAAAATTTGCACTTTGCCAATTTTTTCCCTGACAGTTGTTCAAAAGCTAGCATGCTAGCTTTTGGCCAAATGTACTTGTCATAGACATAGTGAAAACTTGCAAAGCTTCGTATACGGACGGGCAAATAAAACCTGTCATATGAAACTTGTCATCTCCCGACTTTACAGTATAGCATTAACTAATTGTTTACACTATAGTAGAACAACACGTTTATGCCGATTTCGGCACCTGAGGCTGGTCTTTTCACCTGTAATATAGGTTTCAATGCCAGCATGTAAATGTTATTGTTAGTGCTGAATTCGTTCTAAATTATTAGAATTTTAAGGCGTGGATTTTGCGTGCAGGTGCTAGTCCTGAGTAACATGAACAACATACTAATTCGAGGGGATGATAACTCCGAGAATGTGTACGAGACGTTTCCACTATCCAAAGTCCAGACATTTTATGACTGGAAATTTTGAGAATTTTTCTCGGAATTTGGGGGCCTTTTGTAGTTGATAAAGCAATATTCTTATTATTATGTTCTCCTGAAACTAAACAGTCAAATGTCAAATTTAATTATAATATAGGAAAATTCGTTCTAGAGCAATCGTCAGAATCCATATTTACTGAGGATAGTACATAGTCATAAATAGATATACTTCCGTCGTATTCTTTCAGATTTTAATTCAATTCAGACGTCAACTTTTCAAGAGTATATATGTTGTATGAATTCATTTAGAATAGTCAAGCACTTTTACAGACTTTGACTTGCCCCTCGTGTAGTAATTACCCTCTCTCCTCCGCAGAGGCTTAGAAATGCTAATACGAATTTGAAGATGAAATATATGAATGCCTTATAAATTATAAGCATTTCTACGCCTCTGCGGAGGAGAGAGATAATTATCTAATCACATGATGTCACAATTGCATTTTTAATTGCATAGTATAATTTGGCGTTAGGACTAAATGTTCTCGGGATTTACGGTGCATTTGTTTATCTAACATGCATTAGCAAAGTAATAATATATCAATGTATGTCAACTTATGTACCCTTGATTAAGCCGATTATGCAGACGAGCAAGTTTTCTATTGCTATGCCTATATGACAAATTTTCAAACTGGCGGCTATTGGAACAACAGATCGGTGACCAACCGCATGTAATTGGTTAAATTACTTTGCCAATATTTTTCTTTATTGACCCGTACAGCCGAACAAAATTTGTACTTTGCCAATTTTTTCAATGAAAAGTGCTGGCGTCTGTTATTTGCGTGCAGTGACATTGTTGTAAGTAGCTAGATATTCATTCGCTGTATACGAGGTTTTAGCAGTCTTGGTCTGGGATTGTTTGGAACACGTAACCCCAAGTTTAACCCAACCTCGTACCCAGGGTTTGAGGGCGTGCGAAGGTAAGAGCCTGGGTACGAGGTTGAGTTTAACCATCTTCGTGTCGACTAAAGTTTGTCTGTTGAAACAATTTTGTTGTGTCGTAGCATTATCTTTGTGGGCTAAAGATTCCGTTCTGGAATACGAGGTTTCGCGCAGGGTTAGTCCCCAATAACCGACCTTGTCAAATACACTATTGAAATATGTGGGCACCCCGAATACCAACATGAACATATACAGGATCTGGAATAGTGGATCGAATCACTCTCATTGGATACTTCCCGAGACAAAACGAAATTGACACGAAAGTCTGAAGCGTGTAAGCGAAGGGAGAACCTTCGCATGGCGTGTTGTATTGAACGGAAAAAGTAAGAAGAATTGAGAAGAAAGCGGAGTAGAACTAGTCTGGAACATTTGTCGGTCCGAAAATGAAACGACAGCAGAGGATAATCGATGAATCAAATTTGAATGAACGTACTGCGAGCAAAGTCGACGAATACAAGAGCTCGAAATGGAAAACCTTGAACTGGAAATGTATTAATGAATTTGTGATAAAAAACATTCTATAAAATACCACAATCGAAAGGAAGCGACAAAAAACGGATTACTTTGTAGTGCAAAACGGAATCATGGTGTATTATATCTTTACGTGAGGAAAAGGCGAAACTTGAAAGTCAATTGAATACCAAAGAAAAGCTTGAAAGAGAAACTCGTTACCATGAACATGCGCATGCATGACGATTTATTAAGAAGCAACGACACCAACAATTAATAGCTCGAAAACATCGTACAATATGTACATCGTACAGTGTGTACAATGTAGAAAAAGACTGACAGTTTCAATACCTTCATTGTTTGTAAAATTTAAATGCCAGTATTCATACTGTACAACTAGATGATTTGTGCACTTGACCTTATATATTTGCTAAAGCAAAGCCTCCATTCTTTCTTCATTTACCTATGAGACGTCCTTGCAATGCCGGAACACCGGTATGGGATTGACTAAAGAACGTATACGAATGGTACATCCATTGCTGTAGCTTGATTCATTTCGTAATATACATGCAGCTGTTTCGTATTCTTAGTTAGGTAAAATTTGAACGGTATGTTTTCAAGACTTTCGTAACATTATCAAAAGATCTACAGTCGGATAGATTTCAAAAAATCAAAGAATTTTTGGATATCCACAAATATGCATGCAGTATATATTTGCCCGTGCACGTGCTGATTCAGTATTTGTGTACCAACTGATCTGTTGTTTGCATCATGCCTTGCGTTCCAAACCTACTGCATGGAAAGTATGTATGGTATTTGCTGCCTAGTGTCATTCTCATGAGAATTACTGCAGCATACCGAATATGAAATTAAAAGGTATTAGATACAATTGAATGCATTGGCCGCCATATGTGCCGAGTTGTAATCTTTCAAATAAAAAATAGGATCTGCGATTTTGATCTTCAATTTGATGGGAATTTCGAAAACCAATCCCCAAACACGAAATCCCACTCAGCCCGACATTAAAGTTTTTTCATAATTTTTTCGGTTCTTCGTCTCAATCGAAATTCATTTCTTCTCGTGTTAATGCTAATGAGTGTATAGTAGATATTTAACAATTATTAATGAGGTTGAGCATTATATAAATAATTACCAAGGCCAAAGTTTGTGTTATCAACCAAAGTCGAAGGCTGATAATTCTTCATATCATCGAAATAATGACCAGTTCTTTTTCACATTTGCAAAATTCTTTCCTTTCTCTTTAATAAGTTCGTTTTGAGAGGTTCCAAAGCTCAGTTTCTGGCTGTTCATTGATATTTCTTCTTTATATTTTAAAATTTGCTTCCCTTAAATCCAAGCCGGCGCAATATTGTTTTGGTCGTGTTTTCACATTTTATATTTGTGTTTCCACAACATGACGTCATAATTCTGATATGAAAAAACAATATCAGCATCAGGACGTCAATGTGCTCATATGATATTTTTATACTGATCAGCACTGCTACATCGCTGCGTAGAATATTATGTCAAAACGCCATATTTGGTAAGCTATATATTGAGTTGATATGACAATTTCATATCTTGAAACTACGAATCTTTTAAATGAATAATAATCAAAATTGCCATCCAGGTACATCGAACCTGTTATTAATTATGCATGGTGTATCAAAATCAAACATGGTCGCTATAAATGGTGAATTGAAACGTACAGTATATAATGGTTCAAAAACTTCATGTATGGAACGCGAAATATTCATGCGTTTATTGATAAGCGAGTGCGAGATGCTACGATGAAAATGTAATGTGGTTCTATCTAGTTCCAATCGTCTAATAATGAATGAATAAAGATTAATCATGACTATGTAAGATATTCACTGTATGATATATGGCAAATTTTACTGGTTCGTGGCTTGCATTGGGGCAAATGATCAGCGCATTTACTTTACAACCGGCAACAGGGGTTCAATTCCAGCCGTGATTCCAGCAATGCATGCCGTTCTCTATACCTGCACCTCACCTCTTCTCTATACCTCGCACGAACAAAAGTGGTTCCGGATTGATTTTTTAAGCGCCGCAGGGTATTTTCGGGTATTTCAATTTCCCTTTGCACAGAACAATAGAGTTATCCAGTCTAAACAATATTAGCCTAGTTTACTAAACCTTTTTTTTTGGATGGACCATTAGAAAAGTGATGGAAGGAGTAGGGGAAACTTTTAAGATTCCGCCAAAACGTATCCTGCACTAGCCGAAAGGCCGAACAAATATTCATGCGGTGGAAAATCTCCAACCCTCATAATTTTTCTAATATTTACATATTTCTGGACATTATCTGGAAACATAAGATCTCTAATCATATTTTTTTCCTGCACAGGTAATGTGAGTTCAAAACCAACTAAAACAACTGAACCGTCAGTTACGAAGGAAGAGGCTGACAACCACAAACGTAGATTCACTTTCACCCAGAAACAACTGGTCGAACTTGAGAAAGAATTTCATTTTAACAAATACCTGACTCGGGCGCGGAGGCTAGAGATTTCCAACGATCTGAAGTTGACTGAAAATCAGATTAAAATTTGGTTCCAGAACAGACGCATGAAATGGAAACGAGGCATGAAGGAAAGTGTTCAACAGACAAAGGCGGGGAAATATAAACCAATCACAGCGAACTTACAGGACTCCATGATGATGAAGCATCATGTTTCTAATGACATTGCAATGTTTCAGCAACACATGAACTGTCGATCAAATTACATGCCTTATTAAATTGAGCCAATAAATCGTCGCACCTCCTCAAATATATCATTCCATCTGGACCATCCCCCACCCCCAATAAAATGTATCAACCTACTAACTTACAGACTTGTATACCTTCGAGAAGGCTTAGGATATTTGGTGTAAATATTAGTATCAATTTCGATATTTATTAGAATGGACATTATTTCACGGAACAGTCTATACGCCTTATTTATAAAATTCATAGGTATGACTTCCACCGAGTGTAAATTTGTTCACCATTAATGTACATAGAATATTATTTCGCATAGAGATAACAAAGTTATCCAATAAATTCACTAATTTCATGTAAATTTGGTACACTTTATTCATGAAAAAAAGAGATAAAAGTATAATCCTCACTGGGTTTAGTCGTTATTATCAGCACTGTCATATTGTGCATGTTGAACCTTAAAATGTCATAATGATAGTTCAAACTCCAACGTTCCCGAGGTGAACTGGGAGGAGAGCCCATGAGGGATGATGAGCCTCCCTTATTAAAGTTTCCATTCAGTGTCGGGAGATGAGTCCCCTTAATTAAGATATTTATCATTTGCAAGACTGAAATAATCTTTTATAATGCAATAACAAGTTTTTGTTTTGTTTTTTTCTTCGGAGTTTCCATTGTTTTGTATTTTTTTAGAATACTCAGTGGTTATCGAAAGTCTTGCTAATTTAATAAGATTTGGCATTGTTGTACAGTGATTTCTATTCAATTTTTAAGGTCACATATTCAAGTAAATTGCGACCGGATAGTGATTCTAATTTCTTGTTTCAATATGATAAAACTGTATTTTTATATGACAATGTCACTTAAAATACAGGAAAACGTGTTTCAGAGACCTCGGTTAAAAAAATTCTGCCAATTCATGCCTCAAGGCCTCCCTACTGAGACCCCGAGTGAAATTGTCAGGACTACACACCATTCTTTAGTCCTCCTATATATAGATTATAATGCTTGCTCATGCAGTATCTTGTTACTTTTAAGTTTTTATAATTTCGAGGACAAGAGCTCTCATGCATGCTGCATGATCGATATAAAAATTTGAAATCAACCGAATCTTTTTAACGTCTCCACTATTCGTTGCTTTCCATTTTTAAAACAGTCATAATTGTACCAGTCACGAATTGAAAAATTCAGAATCTCACATCATGATACGTGATAGATTGCATGGCTTCACCCCCATCAATCATTGAAATGCAATATATTAGAGATAATTGATACATGCATCCCATGCAGTTAGTGGCTAAATTTCAAGAAGCCCATGTCATTTTTTTCGAAAATTAGCTACAACGCAATGATTCGCAGTTTAACAACTAGTGTCATATGGATGTGTGCATGGATGTTTCCGAAGAGGGTTAAAAGCACCAAATTGTGCACAGTAGCATCTTTTTATGAGTAGAACAACATGCAAAAGTGGGGCCATCGTGAATTCTACTACAACAAAAAATGTGAAATTTTGAATTCAATCGCGACAAATATAACTTGCATCATCAGAAAGCTTGTAAAAAACTACATAAAAGACTTTTAAACAGTTTTTTTATTCTTCAAATGGTTATTGCTGTAAATTAGGCACATTATCTCGCTAAAAGTCCCTAATTCATTATTCGATGTTTAAAAATGCGTTTTTAACAGTTTATAATTCGAAAACTATTTCAGAAATCAAAAAACTAAACGTCTTATATGCAGTTTTTTATAAGCTTTCTGATGATGCAAGTCATATTTGTTGTAATTGAATACAAAATTTCACATTTTTTGGCTATAATAACCCGTTTTCAGGAGTTAGCAGCAAAATAGCGACGGCCCCACTTCAAATATCTATTAAGCAAATAAAACTACACAATTGTAAAAGTTTGATGCTTTTAACCTCAACGTAAACTACTGATCAATAATTTTACACATATCCGCCTCACTAAACCAGAATAATAGAATGTTTTTTACATCATCAGTGAAATGAAAACACAGATTGAAATTGTAGTTAAAATAAAATAATGAAAATGTACGCCGAAATTTTATATGAAGATTGAAGTTATATGGAAATTTGTTATATGCTTATTGACCTAATTAATTAAGCTAATTAACCAAAATTTCTATAGGCTATATTTATTTTCAATAAACTTTTCTGTTTATTATAAAACCTCATCAATGCTTCTCACGGTTGGCAAAATTTTAGCATCTTGCTCTTATAGTAAAATTGACCAGCAATTTCAATGCTTGCACAATTCCATCATGCATACAGTGTCGTATATGAGATATAATAATACCTAATATATATATAGTGGCTATATTGATTGGTGTTCGGTATCAAATATAGAACACTAATAAAGCCAAGATCATGGTTATCAATTCGATTTTCAAGGTGTTTCCTTGATCAATTTCAGGTTCTGTTCATCATTGCTCATTAGTTCAAAAGTAAATTAAAAACATAACCGCGTGTATTGGGACAGAAGAACCATGCGTTACTTCACAAACGTAAACAGTCAATACCTCCCACAACTTTTTCAATTGGATAAAGTCCTACAATTTGTTTCAATTCTTGATGTTCAATTGGGTTTTTATTCTCTCTATTGAAATTTGATAACCAATTAGTTCTTATCAGGAAAATCCATCTCTTTGATCCAACGTACGATGGCGTGCATGGCGCTTATACAGTAGACTATACAATTCATTCAAAAACACAGGAAATTAAATCTTAAACTATACGGACTTAATCAGAATTTGGATAATTAAATATAGTAAACAGGTCTGCACTAACTTTCAAACAGCACAAAACTAAAATATTATTTGTTTTTGTTTTGACAGTAAGTAAATGTTGACGAATGATGGATGTTTATTGAGTTGATTGTTGCATTGTCATGACAGCTTCTCGAAGTTTCATAAATATTTTTATTTAGCCGACAAAATTACTGCTTTGCAGGGAGTACAAATGTCCAAACAGTGCATTGAATTTAAAAATACCCCCTACAGTATGCTTGCGTTTGTTTATTGTGAGTTTGCCAGTGATTTTTTATGTTTTTAAGCCTGTATTTGTAACAAAAAGGATTAACGTTGTTGCCCAAATAATACCTTGGATCAAACAAAACCAGCTTAACTCTCTAATTGAGCCAAGTTCTGTTAATGACCTATTATAATTTACAAACATGTGTGTTTACGGCGCTTATTTTTTCGCAAATATTTGTTTTGTCTGTGTTGTTTTCAAATATTCAGTTGGAGTCCATGTTAGCAAAGAAAAAACATTTATTACCCTGTTTTTCATTTATCATGTTTAAATATGAACTGTCGAAAAGCTAATTTCGAAACGGAATAGGTCATTATGAGATATTGTCCTTACGAAAGTCATAAGTGTGATCTTATCTGTTTCCAGTTAATATTCCCCGTCCCAGCACTTATACGCTTGATCAAGCGTGTAAACGATTGGCACCGTCGCATCAATAACACTTAGTCGTTCAAAACATGTTATTTAATCACGGTATACCAAAACAAACAACAGCATCGGTACGTGTTTCAGGATCCTTGTATTTGGTTACACAACGTTTTTGACTGAAAGTCGCCTTTCTTGTACCAGTTAAATTAAGCCCAGGTCAAACGTACAAAGTGTTAATGAGTACAATAGAGTGGCATACCCTGTCAAACGACTAAATCAGTAAGAGTTGCGAGAGGGAGTGTAATGAGAGTCGCCTAGATTTGGTGAACAAACTAGCAAAAACTCTCATCAATTAATTAACTCTCATTACAATTTGTACCAGGTCAATGTTGATGGGAGTATGAGAGTGAGTATGAGAGTCTGTGAGAGTTGACGTTCAAATACTAGCCTCTCATCTGGTGGTGGGTAGAGGTGGATAGTAAACGCATAAAAATCCTACATCTTGTAACAAGTCTGCCAACAAGCCGTCAACAAGTGGTCTTCGCACAAGCCCGTAGCTGGCTCTCAATTTCTGGGGGGCACTCACTCCAGAAAGAATGTAACCAAACGTTTGATATGAAAAAAAAATTTTTCCCGAATTTATTCTGGCGACCTCCCCCCCTCCCACCCCCGTCGCCCAAAAAATTTCGGTCAGTGTACCATTTTAGGGGTCAAAAAATTTTTCCGGACATAACAATTTTTCCGGACATACTCCATTTTTCCGAAATCTAACAAAATTTTTCAAAAATCACAAAATTTTCCACAAAATTTACAGAATTTTTTCCATTATTACAATTGCTTCCCAGGCCCTTTATCTCAATTTTTCATACCCGATTTCCGAGTGGGGGGGGGGCACTGTCCCACCGAGTGGGGGGGGGGCACTGCCCCCCCAGCTACGGGCCTGTCTTCGCATGACTGCTTGTCCCAAGTAATTGTCAACAATTTTGGAACAAACTGTTAACAATTTTAAAATTACTTGTAACAACCTTGTTGATATTGTCAGACTTGTTGCAAGGTTGTTCTAACAAGTCCGATACAGCCATGATATCACAATATTGTTACAACCTTGTGTGATCAACCTTGTAACATTCATCATGACTGTATCAGACTTGTTAGAACAACTTTGCTACAAGTCAGATAATGCCATCAAGCTTGTTTCAAGTTGTTAACAGCTTGTCTCAAACTTGTTACAACAACTTGGAACAAGCAGTGCGAACACAACTTGTTAACTGCTTGTGAACATATTTGTAACAACTTGTTTGCAGACCTGGAACAACTTGTGCGTTTTTACGCGCGTAATTGCGGACAGTATCACCAAAACGTTGTATTTCTTGTGTTCTGTAAAGGCCGATTTACACTACACAATTACTTCTGCCTGAAACTATTACATGCAACCTGCTTACAACATGAGTTGTACTATGTAAATCAAGGGCCAAATTCTGGCTCTGAGTACGAGATTGGGAAAATGATTGAGTTTCTGTAATATGATCAAATTAATATTCTACGGAATGTCGGTACAATAGTTAATCATTTGGGTAAAATTGATTGCATAAAGTCCATGAAGCATCAGCGGTCTTTCAGTGGCATGCATAGAACTGTGTAGTATGTATGATTTGTTGACTAACTAATATTCAAACGAGAATATTAAGCTGCACATACAATGATCCAGATCGGGCGGCACGTGCATGGCACATGTCATATTATTGTCATGATACCACATCGCGGGCTCGGTTGCGAATTTTCGCGCGCTTCTTGTTTTTTAATTATCTGAGCCGCAAGGATCAAAAGAGGGTTTATAGTCTATGCATCTTTGAAAAGGCTTGTGTAGACGTAATCCAGAAGACGGTTGGATGAACGCAAGAGCAGACAAACTGAGAATAGTCTGTTTGATAATTAAAACTGCAACCGTAAATAATCGCATATTTTGTTTATATATCCTTGCAGTAGTCATTTAGAAACACTTATATTAAACAAATATTCATTTTAAGCAATACATGCTGCGTATATTTTCCTCACTGCGAGCATTATTCACCGCATTCTTAAGCCACAGTATGTTCATTACTTCGGCAAATGTTATTAATTCTGCAGTTCCGAAACGCATTGTAAGCTATAAAAATATACGAATCGTCGTTGCCGATATAAACTTTAATGTAATTTAATTATTGATTCTCTGCGGGTGCGTTTTCATACGCGTAACAAACACAGACAGTAAATCACTGCAGTTAATTAACTGACCATCTTTAATTATTGTTCGTTATTTACTTTAAAGATTGTATTGAAATAAGGACAGCCAACAAACCTGAATGAGGCCTGAAACTCAAACACAAACACAAACACAAACAAAAATTGGGTCTTGCATTCTTTCTTAGCCCTTAGGCTTATAATTCACAGGCGGTGGAAGTATGGCAGAGCCTGAAATAACGGCCGGCGGCCGGCGGTTTTCCGACCAAATTCCGATTTTTCCGATCAAATGCTGAAATGATCGGAAATTTTGTCCGGCCAAATTTTGAGAAAAAGAAAAATGTTTTCTTAATGATCGGGTCGGCGCTCAGCACAGTGAGTACCATCTGTAAGTTTGGATTATCTATATTAGGCTAATATAAAGTAATCAACTGGAAAGTATAGTCCACGAGCCCAATAAACAAGATGGTGGTTTACAGCATGGTGTTGTCGGGTCAAGATAAAAACAGCGTCGGCGGGCGTGATTAAATTATTAGACAGATTTAGATCGAGGACGCGGACGTCAAAGACGACGTGAAAATGGCGTATTGTGCCCATGTATGGATAAGCCACGCCATTTTGACGCCATGTTCACGTTGTCTTTGACGTCCGCGTCCTCGATCTAAATCTGTCTATTATTCACTATAACTTGGTCAAACTAAACTAAAAAAAATTCCGGTCAATTTTGCAAATTTCCCGTCAAATTTCGTTTTGATCGGAAGTTTTTCCGGACAAATTTTAAAATTATTTCAGGCTCTGTATGGTGTCCCATGTCCGCCAAAAATCAACTTTTGCATTTCACTATATCATATATTTAGAGAATCATATCACTTCTTGTTTAAAACACATTTATCTGTATTTGAGATAGTAACTTTATTTTGCAATTCATTAAAATAAGAACATTGTTTTCGAAAATCACCGGTTTATTGGTTGAAAACACAACTTATTTTTCGAAGATCAACTTTTGATACGAATGATACCCAACCGCAATCCAATGTCTTCGTTGTTCGCGGACTCGCATATTGCCGTGATTTCCCGCTGCTCAGTTTGAAACGCAGAGCGACTTTTCTAAAAATTTGTTGACCAAATATCGGTCTTAGGAAGCAACTGACCTTCATCAGGTAAAGTACTAAAGTAATTGAATGTTTTTTATATTCAGTGTTCTATTTTCCTTATCCATTTTGTGCAGGCTTCTGTAAATACAAGAATACTATGAATTATTCATATACTGTACCATGACATGTATTAGCATTTACTTATGACTTGGGGTTGGTGACTCGTATTTGACTTTAATTGATCAGCTATAGGTTAGATTGCAGAATACCCTTTTGTAACCTTACACCTCAAATTAAGGGCCGTTTACACCGGCGATTTTAGCTGGGATTTTCTCCTTTTAAAGGATGTGAAGGAGTGGATAAGTTATGAATGTTCTAGGTTATGAAATCTCATCAATCTATGAAATCGCGGCTGAAGGGGATGGACTAGAGGCAGGTTTTCAAGATAGCCGCCAGTTTTTAAGATCATTAAAACGTAAAAGAATGAATAAACAGCCACTTCCTACAATCACTAAACCTAACCCTTGCCCCTCACCTAACCCTTGCCCCTCACCTAACCCTAACCCCAGGGACGCCGGAAAGGGGGCGCAGGGGGGCATCGCCCCTTGCCCTTTAGTATGGGGGCAGGGGGGCGAAAGTGCCCTTATAGATAAGAATTCTAACCCGAAAAATATATGGTACAACGATTAAAAAGTATGAATTACGAGTGAAATGTACGTAATATTGAAATATATGTAAAATTTTCTGGATTTTGCCCTTGTTTTGGTGAATTAAGGTTCCAGAAAAAATTTTCGGAAACGAAATATTAATTAGTGATTGCCATTACGTCAACATTCCCTCCTGTGCCCGACCCTCGCTCCGGCGTCCCTGCCTAACCCTCACACTAACCTTAATAGAGGGTGGGAAAGGGGGTGTATGGATCACGTCTCACAACGAAAGAAAAAGCCGTTTCACGATTCACGTGTCTTAAAAAAGCAATTTCACGGAAAACTAGATTCTCATAAAATAATATAATAATAATAGGTTTATTAAGACTACGTTTAATGCATGGTACAGTACAGTATCTACGCTTTAAGTTCTCTCATTTCTCTACCTGTCAGTTAAAAACTACATCATAACTTACAAGTTTGAGTGACGAGAATGTACGACGACCTCCGCGCGTGTCCTCAGCGTCAGGAACCTTGTCCTCAGCGCCAGGAACCTTGTCCTCAGCGGCAGGAACCTTGTCCTCAGCGAACATTGTGCTCAGCGAACCTTGTCCTTAGCGCTAGGAACATTGTCCCCAGCGCCAGGAACCTTGTCCTCAGCGTCAGGATCGAACCTTGTCCTCAGCGAACCTGGTCCTCAGCGAACCTTGTCCTCAGCGAACCTTGTCCTCAGCGTCAGGAACCTTGTCCTCCATTAATTTGATTATCGCGTATCATGTTTATTTATATTATAATAATCACTATAATAATCACAGTTCACGAAACAGGCATCCTTAATTCTCATTTCATAGAGCATTTTTATCAACAATCACGCCTCACGGCTGTAGAACAACTCGCATTTCACGACACTAAAATCAAGCATTTCACATTTCACGCGAACAATTATTCACCATTCACGGTTCACGAAAATACCCTTTCCCACCCTCTTAATACTAACGCAAACTCTTATTTCAAATTTTCAATTTTGGAACCATCTCAAAAATGATAAAAAAGTCATAAAAGTTTAGTACTTTACCTGATGAAGGTTTGTTGTTTCCTAAGGCTGATAGAAAAGTCGCCTTGACCTGACCTGACCTGACTTGACTTGACCTGACCTGACAGGAGGTCATGTCCAGTATAGGCATCTGTTATCGGATCGTTACGATCCGTAACTTTGAATACAGATGGCCGTGCAGCATATGCGTTAACCCTATTTGCATGTAATCAAAATATGTGTTTAGTTAATATAGTATTTCTTAAAGAACGAGGGATAGTCTAAGTATCTAACCACCTGTATTCGAATTACGGATCGTCACCATCTGACTACAGATGGTACATATCGTAACATTTTATACTTAAGTGCCTAGCCATCCGTATTCATAATCACGGATCGTTACCATCTGACTACAGATGGTACATATCGTGACATTTTATGCTTAACTGAGTGCCTATCCATATGTAATCATACTCACGGATCGTCACCATCCGACGCCCCGATGCCTATACTGAACATACCTCGACCTGACCTGACTGGTCCTGACTCAACTCCGCCATTGTTTGCGGATAAACACGTGTTTCAAACAGATATAATTTTTGCGGGAAATCCCGGAAAAATGAGCCCGCGAACAACAAAGACATTAAATTGCGGTTGGGCATCAAAAGTTGGTCTTTGATTTTGATTGATTTGAGTATCTTGATTTTTAAAAACAATATTATTATTTTCTCAAATACATAACACAGAAGTCGACGAGTTCGAAACCCATATATATGGCTCTGTTTTATTTTCAAATTTTAAAAGTTTTTTTCATCTTCTTTTGAGTCTGATTTTAAGGTTAGGTCTTATGGTTAGGTCTGTGGTTAGGTTTTAGGGCTGTGCGTGATGTGGTTTACTTTTTTTAACAGAATAAATTTTTAAGCGGGCACGTAGTATTTTTCGACAGCCGCATGTAGACTAGTATTTCGATTCCGATGGAATTATAAAGTTTGATAGTTTAGATACATGTGATGGATATTTTGAATATAAACTAGATCGAGTACACAAAATATGCGTACTGTCCTTTAGTTTTGGTCGAGTACACTGAATGTGCGTACAACCGTTTACTTTTGATCGAGTAGCCTGCGAGCAGGCTCTTTTGATCGAGTACGCGTAAAAAGCATACACTCACAAATACTTGATCGATTACGCATATTAAAATGCACTATTATTACACTTTTTGTAGGAGTACTGACAGTATAGTCGATAGATAACGAGTTTCACAATCCTATTTGAATACAACAATGACTTTTGCAATTTTGTATCACATATGTGTTTTTAAAATTCCATTTTCTTACTTCCCCAAAGTGCAAAACGCGAAAACTCTTTGTTAATAATAACAAAAATTTGTAATAGTAAACAATGTATTTTATTATAAAGGATTTTGGTTTTTCTACTGCTCCGTACTCCGTGTTCTCCGTAATCCGTGTGCTCCATGCTCCGTGTTTTACTAAATACTAATAGCCGAGTTTCGGTAGCGTCGAATCCAGTGGACCTATTCCCTAATGAACAAAAGTTTGATCTAGACAAGCCTAGAAATTTTGTTTTGTAGAAGTTTTGCCGTGAAATGTTGTAAAATGCGGAAAAAGGTATCAATTTCCCGCGCGTAATACAAAATGACTAAAAAACGGCAAACTTCGCAGGGCTATATTATGCGCATTTTACAACATTTCGCAACGAAACTTCGAAATACTACTAATTTTGTAATTCCCTTTCAAGCTGTGATGAAATTTTTGTTTAGATTTGTCTAGATCAAAATTTTGTTCATTAGGGAATAGGTCCATTCAAACAATAGATAATGAAGCTTAATTAATGAGGTTTATCATCTCATTATCTATTGTCTTAATTGCATTCGACGCGACCAAACTTCGACGTATAAAACAGGCCTAAGCTATGGCAGATGAGATCTGAGCCATTAGTTCCGGTTTATTTGTGAACATAAGGGCAGACGGCCATGTTGAAGGAAAACACGCGCCAAATACAATAGCTTGCTAATGGACCATTTGCATTATAGACTAAATTTTGATCTAGACAAAAATTTTATCACAGCTTGAAAGAGCATCACAAAATTAGTAATATTCCAAAGTTTCGTTGCGAAATGTTGTAAAATGCGGATAATATAGCCTTGCCGAATTTGCAATTTTCAATGATGACTGAAATATAGTGGAAACGTTGATAAATATAAAAATGTTGTCGATCTTTGGAGTTACACTTGTTTTGTATTTTGTTAAAATACTCAGTGTTTCTAAAATTTTTAAACGGATCCCTGCCACGTCCCCAGTCGCTTGCTATCAAATAATTAATTAGGAAAAGACGAAAATTAATGGGGCGCGCGCTCGTCCTTAGTTGCGGGTGTGCGCCTAAAGGCGTGCGTCTTTATCGGGCATGCAGTGCACGCGCTGATCTATATATTACCGATATTTAAATTTGATCTATATAGAGGAGCCTGCGGAGGAGGCAGAACGGATCCTATGTTCTCCACAGGATAAAAGTCATCGTCTTTTACCCTTGACCCGCACTTGAGAGTGAGTATGACGTCATATGAAACCCGAGCATTAATCAAGCGAGACCAATCACCGTTGAAATCTTCAATTAAAATCAGTGCTTCCATTTTAAAGGAAATTTACTTTCTAAGGAAATTGTCTGGTCGAAAAGGAAAATCTAAGGAAGAAAAAAATCTTAGGAAATCTAAGGGTTTTTTCCAAAAAACCTAAATATTCATACAAGTACATTAGTGCAGAAGAAGTTTCACTATGTTTTTTAATTTTTAAATGAATTATCAACCGACATTTCCGATAATTAGGTCACAACTACATTGTTTTCAACTTAGCCTTAGGACCACCTTAAATTACGCTAAAATGAAATGGAGTTCAAGTTTTTTCTCACTGGCTATGCGCAAAGAAGCAGATTGTGACATTCTTCTTTAGCACATGCATGATAAAAAATTTATTATTTTGACCAATAGATGCGGAAATAAGCTTTAACATGAAAACGAGGCTGAGGGTCCCAAAGGGACCATGGCCCCTCAGCCTCGTTTCTTTGTTAAAGCTTAGTCTCACATTTATTGGTCAAAATAAAAAGTATTTTTCATGCATGTGTTGAAGAAGGATGCTCTGCTTCTTTGCGCATAGCAAGTGAGATAAAGCTTGAAATCCATTCCATTTAAGATGGTTCTAAGTTGAAAACAATGTAGCTGTGACATGACTACTGGAAAGGTCTATTATGTGGGAAAGTACATTTATTACACCGAGGGAGGGGGATGAAGATGTCTTGAAAAAAGCTCATATTTTACAGGGCCCCTCAATGCCCTTCCCCCCTCTAGAATTCGGAATCGAAGGAGTACAATCCGGAATTCTCTCTTATCATAGATACAATTTGCAGTTCCTCAAGATGTCTGATATACTCAAGTGCTTCTCCTCAACAAAACTACCGATCTGCTGCTTCTTTCATCTCACTAGCGCCAGATGAAATGGCACCGTCTTTAAAACATTTTAAATTGGCTCTAGGGGTGGAATTATCAACAGGTTGTTGTTGTCCATCATTCAGCGTATTCGGAGTCTTGAACACGTTCATGTAGTGGCCAGGATTTCCTGGATCAGGGTAATGTGCTGGAACCTTACAGTATGTTGCCCCCACTCAACGTATCTCCCGGCATCTGTTGCAAATGTCTTTGCATGCCTCTCAAAAATGCATGCAAAAGTGCCAGTATGCTTCAATTTCTTTAATTTCCATCCCGTTTGTTCCCATAAACATAGAACATATCATTCTTGCAAATTGTATATGCTTTTTTGCTTTTTGGCGCGTAAATTACTTCACAAACCTGGCGCAAAAAAAATTAAAATAAGCTATAGGTGATTTCATGTATCCATTTAGAAGAGCAGACTAAGGATATCTTAAAACTGAAATCGGTTTCGAATACAACCATCAGGGACGTAGCAAAGCATCTGACGTTTGGGGTGGAGAGGGATGTCAGAGGATTATATGTGTAATAATTATAATAAAGCTTCTTGTGATTGATTGGCACTCTTATACTAAGTTTTGGGAAAAAAGGGGGGTCTGGGGGTCCTCACCCAGAAAATTTTTACATTTTCGAAGCTCTAGGACTGAATTTATGGCGTTTTCTAAAGCAAATTTCGCAAACAAACTGCATGTAAATTGACTGTATTTTACAAAAATGGTTATCATTTCACAAAAATAATTACTTTATTACGCAACTTTTACCTGAAACTGATGTAAAAATTTTAACTTTAATTTGCTGGGGTCAAACTTTTGAAAAGTTTAAAGCCGCCCCTTCAGTGTATCAAGAACTTTCAGAGCCCCCCCTTTAATGCCAGAAAATATTTCGGAGCCCCCCTTAACATCTTCATCCCCCCCCCCTCGGCATAATAAATGTACTTTCCCTTATGTTTAATTAAAAATCTGTTTATAACTTTTTCTTCGTGTTTCCGAAAACTTCCGAAAGTTTTTGAACGATGGGATTTAGTACCTTCTTGCGCCAAATGCTGTGAATACAGTTAATTATATGAGTGGAAACGTATATGTTAATTGTATAAAACTCATAACAAAGATTTACTGAATTTTAAGCAGTAAAATAGCCTGTGTTTTTAGCTAGCCCACATGTGTGTTAATTATGCTACTTTGTGCCTTTAAAATACGAAGTCACTGCAAACTGCTTAATGATATTTCAAGGAAATTTCAAGGAAATAACGTACGAAATCTAAGGAATTTAGAGAAATTTTAATGACAAAAATGAGAAATTTTGAAAATGGAAGCACTGATTAAAATAGATGATCATTTTCAATCTGTGTAGCTATAGTCTGCATGCAGCTAAAAAGTCCGCGAGCAGGACGCATCAATTTTCACACTATCTTTGCTGAAAGGCACAACTTATTTGATCTAAAATGTCTGCGACGAACACACGCAATGTGGAGCAGGCGAAGGCTAGTCACCACGTGCAAAATTACGACGATTGGTACACAAATTTCGCTCACTATAAGAAATGGAATGGTGACCTTTTATTCTATGTTTCTGATTCACGGCAAGTCGGTCGTTGGGTTGGATATATTTTCTCCGCTGGTATTTCAACTGCCGCCGACGGCAACAGGCTTTCTGAGATGAGCATCAAAGTCGAAGGCGATGATTCTGAAGCTATTTATCAAGAGTTTATTGACGAATACCACCGTAATAATTACGGAATTATTCCTTCCATGATTAAAAATACTATCAAGCGTCATAATTGGTATGTCGTCAAGTACGAAAATAATAAGAGTTTACGTGAGTGTTCCAGTGGCTTTCGTGTGCACATTACTATAAGGAAAACTCCTTAGAATCAGAACGATCCTTTATTCAAAACTCGGGTATTCGATTATCATTTGAATATTGATTAAGTAGTGAACTAGAGCAGTGAACGATTTCTCTCTGCGATTTAGTGAATGTATTTGGACTTCATATAGACTATAGTTGATATTGTTTTACGATGTGCTTTCGTGCAATTTTTAGTCTGTTATAAAATACCAGAAGATCGGCATAGATTCCTAGAATCAAACTTCAAAAGAACTTTTTAAGGTAGCACAATTAACAATTGTATTAAGAACAGCTGCCATGTTTGATCCGGTGTCAAGCGAAATTCCTTGAAACAGGGAATGGGAAATCCGGGAATCCAGGAATCAGGGAATCCAGGAATCGGGAAATCCGGGAATCGGGGACGGTAAGACGAGGATATTAGTGTGCTTGTTGGAAAACGCATTTGCTACTTTGTTTAGAATAATAGAATATTGAATTTAGAACTATAGAATTTTGTTCGTACGCGTTGCATTTTGCAGTCTATTAATCCAAAAAACTATGCTCATGCAGGAAACGCGGGATAACACTAAAAGCCCACGCTTTATATGTTAAATATAGCCAACGGGGCGCAATTCGGCGGCCGGTGTCCCAGGATTTTCGCCCCCCCTACATTTTCGCCCCCCGGGGGGCGAATTTCCTAGGAATATCGCCCCCCCAGGGGGGCGAAAATCCTAGGAATTTCGCCCCCCTTTAGAAACTTCACCTTTTCTTTAGGATTTTCGTCCTCCGTTCAAAATTTCGCCCTTCCTAACAGTTGCATGGGATAATTATTACATGGCTTTAATCATTTGAAATCAGTATCAATTCAAAATTATTAAGACAGGGCTTGAAATAACCGATCACCGATCAATGATCGGCAAGGAATTGCTTATGATCGGCGGAAAAGCAGGGTTTCGATTTCCAACCTGAAAAAATCAGGGAAAGTCACGACTGCCGATCACCATGATCGGGAACTTTGGGAACGTTATTTCAAGCCCTGCATGTAAGAATACAAATTTACAATTACATGTATCGAAAGAGCTTACACAGTTACAGTAGATCAATAGGACTTATGACGCTTCACAGCACACCATGCATATTTTGCATTTTCAGTGTTAATCCTTAAACTCATTGTTAAAAAGTAATCACCGTGATGGTTATTGTAATTATTGGTATTGTTTTGCATCCACGTTTTGTCGTTATCGGAAAATGTATGGTTTGTAACTATTTTTTACTTGCATTATTTCAATATAGTTTGTAAATCTCAGAAGCGAAGGGTAGAACTTGCCAATAGCCAATAGCCAATAGGCAATAATCCAATAATATACGTTTCAAAAAAGACAAGAAAGCTTTTAGTTTTAGAGTTAATTCTCAAATGTTTAAGGCATGCACCAATAAAATCAAAGTATCATGAAATTATTTGAATAAACCACACCACATATATAATGCAATTTTCTTTGCGGAAGTGAAGAATCAAGATTACATCACTGACACGGAAAGTTGACGATTCAACGGACAATAATCAATACGCTTCCCAACACATTCCATAGATTTTTTACTAATCCTATAGTTTATTGTTAGCAAGTGATTACTGTGGCGGCTATTGTTAACACTCGTATTGATAAAATTTGCAAGCGATTGTTTTTACAACATGATTTTATGCGATCTCTGTGATGGTTCCACTTTAGATGTGTAGAATATGACACTAGTCTAAGTACCTCAAATGAGTGGTTATGCAGACTGTGCACACCACCAGTTGCTAAGAAGCCTAAAATGTGTATATAATTTTGTCTCCTTGTAATAAATAAATAAATCACACAATAAATCTTTTCAACTTGCAATCGTTTTGTTTTTAGATCAAAAATTCAAAATTTATATGGGGGGCGAAATTCCTAAAGGGGGGCGATATTCCTAGGAGATTCGCCCCCTGGGGAGCGATATTCCTAGGAGATTCGCCCCGGGGGGGGCGAATATCCTAGGAATATCGCCCCCCTTTTGAGAGGGGGGGGCGAATCTCCTGGGGGGGCGAATCTCCTGTGACACCGGCGACACTGTACGGTTTTCATTCACAGATACTTTGTAACCCCAAATTACTTAAAGACCATGTAAAGTCCGTTCTGCGCATACTTTCTGCGCATCGCTACATTCCAAACGTCGGGACCCGACCATTGGAATGTTAATATATGCAATAATAGCGTGTCATATTCAAAATGGCGGACGAAACAAGCACACAAGCGAGTTCCTCTTTGCCGCAAGGCTTGGAGGCTCGTATTGTTACTTCAGAAGACAAGGTTGCCAAAAAAAAGCGATATTACGCGGAGAGGGACGCGAGCAAGATTTATTTGTTCGATCAGCACGTGAGATGGCGAGAGTTGATGAACGAGTTAGCGCTTAAATCTGACAAGGAGCTAGCAGCAGTATTGCTAGACAATTACATGTCTCGCAAAAATCAGCATTTCAGGTAAAAGACTCAACTAGCAATATGATTTAATGTTAGTATATGTTTCAAAAGTGCTGCGGGTTTTATTTTTTTGTTGTATTGGTTGATATTCATACATTTGTCTTCTTAAAAACAGTGAAGTTGAAACTCAAACGGAAGGTGAGCTGGGAGAGTTGCCAAACATCGAAGAGCCTCAACAGGTCTTCACAACGACGCCAAGACATATTCATTCGCCAGGTGAGTTACAGATTAAACAGGAATAAAAATAATATAATGCAACAACATGTAACTCTACAGACTTTCGTTTTTTTCCCGTTTAAATAAAGCTGCGACTTCGACTCGGAGTTTGGAAAGAGCTGCACATGGTTTCTCGACACCTAAGCGCCGTCGTTTGTCAATAGACAATGTTCCCCTCCCTTCACCAGCAATGTAAGTTCTTAAATGAAACAATTTTAATTTCTTATTATGTATTCAATATTATAATATTTAATATTGCAACTATTAAAAGTGTATATTCAAAGAAGTACCAAGAAGACTTTATATTGATGTAAATGTTAGAGTTGTTTATAATTTTAAAATTTTTTTGTTTCCTGTAACCTTTCTTACAGGCATCACAGGAAGCTAAGAAAATGGTTTATTGTAACTCAGGGAGTCATAGTGCCCAATAGTTATAATAAATCAGCACCTTGGTCTCTGTGAATTTATGAGATTAGGGCATATTTTTGTTTATAATAAAGTGTGTTTACAATTAATGGTAAGCCCTGGGCATGCTCTGCAAGGTATTTTTAATTAGCCTTTTCCCAAAAAAAGATCACAATGCATTCTGGAATTGTTTGGAGGGATAAAAATATATGGTGACAGGTGTGATTGAGTGGGTTACATTAAGCATTATTTTTTCCTAATTTTAAAGGTCTCGAATAAGCAATGTATCGTCAATATTGGAGAGGACCATGACTGCAAGTGAGAGCGAAGACAGTGACGATTCAGAAGACATGGAGGAGCTTAACCCACTAAATAGCTCATTGTAAGTTCAGACCTTAAAAGATATAAAAACAATTCAAAAGAACGGCTCACAAGTTTTAGGTTTGTGTACAGTATTTGTCATGTGAAATGACTCAACATGCCAAGTTTAAACCTATATACTTTCATTTAGCTTTTATACCATATTTTGTACTGTATCAATCGTCTGTGCTGAAATGTTATACTTTCTACAACAAGTAATATAAGTATCGTTCTAAGGAATTTTTACAATTGGCATATAATTTGTACTTAGAATGTAACTGTTCCTTTGTTTGTCATTTTATTATTGTCATTTTTTTATAGGCTCCAAGTTGATGACCTTGAGAAAACGTCCCTTGAAAGTGAGGTGTATGATCTGGATGTCGAAGGGCAGGATGATATCGGAGAAGACATATCAGAGCAAGTGTCTAGCTCCACTAACAACGAAGATACCGAAGTGGAAATCATACAACCTGCAGATATTGCCAAGAATGAGTACTGTATTGTAGCAGCAACAAAATTGATACGTTTACTCTACAGAGTTCATGGCGAAATATGTAAGCGACCTGGATGTGACGAACTACTTGAATTCCAAGAAACATATCGTGGCACATGTCTTGTGGTTACCTGGAAGTGTCATGCAGGGCATTTTGGTGGAAGGTGGGCCTCTCAACCGACTTGTGCTGGTCTTCGGGCAGGGAATTTGTTGTTGGCGGCAGCAATTGCTCTTTCTGGTAATTCATACACCAAAATTGGCTTCCTTTTCAAGGTCATGAATATGACATACATATCCAAGATGTTGTATAATCAATATCAGAGCTTATACATCGCTCCCACTGTTGAGGAATATTGGAAAGAAATGAAAGACGAAGCATGGAAAGAAAGGGAAGGGAAAGAAATTATTCTCAGTTCTGATGGGCGCAATGACTCTCCTGGTCATTGTGCACAATACCTAACATATTCTTTTGCAGATATGGAGTCAAAAACCATATTAAATTTGAATATTGTGGAAGTTAGAGAAGTCGAGGGGAGAAAAAGCACGAATATGGAAAGAGTCGGTTTTGAGAGAGGGCTTGACGAGTTGCTGACTTCAACCATGAAAATAGAGGAACTTGTCACAGATGGTCATCTGGGAATCAGTGCAATGATGAGTATGTTACAATTGAAATATTAATTAAGAAATAATTATGATTAGAATGTATGGTTGATCACAAATCTTGTATCCATTGTTTTATGTTTTAGAGCCAAAACAGCCATTATGTTGAGACAAATGTATCAATGTGTTTGTAATAATCATGCAAGCTTATAAAAGACAAAATACACTTCTTGATGCTTCAACGACCATATTTGGGTTTTTTATCAGCTTATGTGATCATTGACATTACATACAAAAGTATATATATGTCATGCTAATTAAGGCATTTGACCAGTCACCAGTATATTCAACTGTTGATTAACCCATTAAGTGCCAGTTCTCTCCCCTTGAGAAGTGAAATTATCTGGCATTAGACAGAGGAAAATAATAAAGTAGGGCGCATCAGGTTGGAATGCGACTTAATGGGTTAATTAATTAGTTAAATATTATAAATTGACGTGTTTGACTTATAATATTAACCCATTTACTGATAACTAGTACCCTACCATTGATCATTGATGAGTATAGAATACCAAAGAAATGAACAATCTCAGCTTATTGCCAGTTCATAATGGGTTCTACAAATTGTGGTTACCATTTAGACCATTACTAACTCTGAATGTGATGTGATATTCCAATTTATTATCTTCAAATATTATATTGATTGTATAATTATTTAGAGAATTCAGTTAAATATAAAGATATTGTTCACCAATGGGATGTTTGGCATGGTGGTAAGAACCTTGGAAAGAAAGTTATTGCAGTAAGTACTGTAGCCACTAAGATACTTGATTTGTTTGAACTGGACAAATGGTTTTGATAATATTCACTTGTAGCTTAATACACAGAATGATACCGGTGCTAAATTGTTCAATTAAAATTCTGATACAATGATGTTTCAATTGCTATATAAAGGTGTTATTTGTGGTTTCATTAATTCTGTACCAGGATAAATTTCAATGAATGATCTCATCAAACCAGTGCCATAGCCAGAATGATAATTGGGGGGGGGGACATATTCATATATTTGTGTTCACATACCATAAAAACAATAGATTTCAAAGGAAATTAATAAAGCAGAACACAAATATATGAATATGTGCCCCCCCCCCCAATTATCGTTGTGGCTACGGCACTGCATCAAACTATTGTTAATACACTATATATGACACTGATTTCTATCTTTGATGTTCTGTATATAGGCTAGCAAAGAAAAAGGAAATGACGAACTTGTACCATGGGTTAGTTCAGTACGCAACCATTTTTGGTATTGTAGTCGGGAGTGTGGTCGCAACACAGAGGACTTCAAAGTAAGCTTTAATTTTTTGTTCATATTTCATAGTTAAAGGGAACTCAAGAAAGTAATCATAATAAGCTAGTCATTATGTCAGTCATAATAGTGATTATCCTAATTTGTGATTACTGCACATGCAATTGTCATCATTTTATAATGAACTCAATGTCTGACGCCTTAATGAAAAATAGTTGCGCTGTCATTCAGCAAAGTCAAATGTTCTGAATCGTACATTGAACAATTTATATTGTCAATGTGCAGTAATCAGTTAATTAAAATATTTTTTTGGTTGAATAGCACTTATGGGCTGGCATTCTACATCACGTTGTAAATGGGCACACATGGGTACTTAGTGACGGCAAAGGTGAAGGAAAATGTGGCCATGGTGTTCTGCCATGAAGAGAGGCAAAAGCCATGGCTTACCAAGAACTCTTCTCCTCAGAATTCTCTGCGCCAGGTTGTGTTGAAGAAGCGTTTCTTGAACACATTTCCATATTATACTCGTTTTAGGTGAGTTTTAAGATGCAACCATGCATTAGCATGAAGCAGGAGACATAAATAATCTCAATTACCCTGGTGTTATGCAAACTTGATCAAATGTTTATAAATAAGCGCCTTGTCACTAAATGAGTTATCGAATGTACCTTTATAATTTTTGTTCGTACATTTCAATGATAGCCAAGTTTTTATCATTTCACTGTCTAGTGTAATTACTGCAATATATCCATCAATGACTGAGGAATCTCTTTTGACTAATTTAAAAGGCCTAATGACACAAGTGTTTTTTTTTTCCTTTGTAGGCATACTGGTTTTTTGGAATCATTCCACAATCATCTGCTGATGTACTGTCCTAAGCGCCACTCCTACTCGTAAGTACTGTTGACAGTTGTTGTTGTGAAAGCCCAGTATGTTGAATTGAATTAGTACTGAAATGCTGTATACACTGTATGTTGTATCAGTAAATACAGTAAACTTTTGATG